ATCGCAGGAGAATTGTACTTTTAAGACTTGCAAGATTCTGTTAATGTATCTTTACAGTAAAGCAGAATTACCTTACAGTATCTTGTCTGGCTTACTTAGTAAGGCTGACAATATCAAGTTATAAATATATGGGAATGATCTTTCAGACAACTTTGGGTCAAGTTACTTATATCCATACTAAGAAATATGGGTCTGTCTCTTCCCAATTGTTTCTACCTGTCTTATCCAATCTGACAGGAGTGGCATGCCGCAGGTCCTGCCAGCTAGGGAGTGGGGGCTGGCAGGGTCCAGAAGGAGTTTCTTTTTGCCAGGCACCCACCGCTTGGAACATCATTTCCGCCGAGATTATATTAGCCCTTTTCCCCATTGGCCTTCCGTAAGCCGAGAAAACCTGGTTTTGTGCTTGAGTCTGGTTTCAGAGCCCATCTCCTGGTCAAATGAATGGATTAGAATAGCGATGGCAAATTCTTTGGCCTCAACGTGTCAAAAATTTGGAAAATGCTCGACTCTGCTGGCATTAAACACACACACACACACACACACACACAGAGAGAGAGAGAGAGAGAGAGTTCTCCATCTCTTCCCATCTAGGCCACCCTGAATTGCAACACTTGGCATCAGCACTGTAGCTGGGCCTGACTTCAGCCTTCGCACTACTGCGGGCACTTAAAAAGGCCTAGGACCGTTCCTGATGGTGCATAAGCTGTAAGGAATTGTGGGATTGCCCCACAGCCCAGCGCTTCGTAGGAATTACCACACACTGGTTATCTTCAGGCAGTGTTCTCTTTCTGTTGACAGGCCCTGCGGCCTACCCAAGGCTGCTCTGGGTCCCACAAGGCCTCCGTTCTTGAATTAGATTCAGAAAATGCTCTTTCAGGGCCTCTGCAGCCTCCTAAAGCTGCACTAAAACATGTCTCATTCTCACATGATTTTCAGATGAGAGCCTGGCCCTCTTGCAGGGTTTTCAAAGGGTCTGGCAGCCAGGCAAGATCACACCTTCTGCAGCCTCCAAAAATCGCACAAAGACAACAGGAGTGCTTTTGAGAATAAGTTGTCAAACGTTGGGGAATGCTGGTGCCTCGCCCAAAACATGGCATGTGTCGTAGGTTTGATATCACTGGATGAGCTCACACCCAGTTGTTATGTGTTTTTTTTTTACTTTTGTTTGGTGTTATGTATTTTGTGTTTTTTTGTTTTATTGCAAGCCATCTAGAGTGACATAAAAGAGAGATCTATGGCTATGTAAATCGAGAAAATAAATAAATAAATGGGTCCTTAGGGCCTAGAGAAAAGCTGGCATATGATTTGTGCTGACTGCACTTGTACACTCCGGAGTGGACAAGTTATTCCAGTAGCCCTGAAAGACTTTGAGCTTAAAATTAGCTTAACTAGTGTAGAAACTCTGAAATCTGAAGTGACTTCAGTTTTACCGAACTGGATAAACAACAACCCCATCCTCGTTGATGGTGCTGAAAAGAAAGCTGGGAGCAGTTTTGAGTTGAATGCCTTTAGGCTATCTTGCCATACATGCCCAATGCAACAGTTGGTTAGGCGGTTATGCTCAAGAATATGCTTTTGCCGGTTATATTGGCTTGAATGAAATGGTGCGGTGGCCTAGAGGTGGTGCTCTCACTTCACAGTCAGGAAGTTGTGAGTTCAATCCTAGGTAGGGTTTTCTCTCTCTGGGCACAATGAGACTATTTCTGCTGAATATAGCTCCGCATTGGCGACAGGAAGGGCATCTGGCTGGTAAACAGCTCCATTCAGTTGCCCAGACTCCACCCCTGCAAGGGATTATGGGGTTGTTAAAAGATGATGATTGGCTTGAATGAAATGCATTCGCCAGTGGCTTAACATCTCAGAAAGTTTCTAGTCTAATTGTCCCAGAAGGAGAGAACTGAACTGGTTTCATTTTGAATTTTCTACTAATGCCTCCTTATCTATGGGGTTTGAAAAAGTGCAACAAATTATTAAAGCAAATAATTTTACCTGATGCACCAGTAGGTCCTAATATTAGAAACCACTTACCCTGGAGTAGTTTTAAACATTTCCAAGCAGCCCCTTACTCATTTTACACATGATCTTACTCATCTAATCCTCTTGAAGCAGTATAGAACATTTTTTTTTCTGAGTCACCTTACTGTTTTAACCTTAGCAGTCTCAGAAGATAAATTTCACAATCTCTCTAAGGGAAATGTTCTTGTCTCAGGCAATGTTTATCTTCTCAAAATACCTGAGATAAGGAGTTAAACACTACAAAGGCTTCCATACAAAGTTTCCTTATTGGATTATATCAGGCATCCTTAAGGTATAACTCATAGTTATGTTGAGATTCATCTAATGTCCAATCTTTGCATTTCGTCTTCATAGTGTGAAAAGATAGTTATCTTCATCCCATAATGATACAGCAAGGGAAGACTCCAGCACGTTGCTGGGGTCCAAGTAAGAATGACCAAAACTCCCCCCCAACCCAACCAGAGGTCAATTCAGTGACCAATCAGGATTACAGATGTGACCACATGACATGAACTACATCTCCCATGAGGAATTAACTACATTTCCCATGAGGCATTCCCTTAAGGGGACAGCTCCCATTCCCAACTAACTTTATACTGTTTAACCAGCACAGGAAACCAGATCTGCCTTTTGTGGTCTGAAATGTACACAACCTGGCTGGTAAGGCTCATTGTATTCCTCTGTGTGCGCTACAGGTAACAGCATTGACTGATGACAACTATGAAAACAGGATGAACAAAGTACACCAGTAGAAGATTAACACAGTATTTTGGATAAATGCCAAGAACTATACATTTCTGCAGATTTTTTTTCCTACTTTGATTGCACAATACTCAAGACACAAGTGGGACTGACGCCCCTGCCCTAAGTGGCCCCATTAGTCATTCTGGAAACCTTGAAATATTCCATCCCCTTCTGTGGTTGAAAGAACAGGCTTAATTAAATTAAGCCTGGAACATCAATCTGGATAGCAACAACAGAACAATCATTGTAAAGATGCCACAGATTGGATGTGAGGTGCCTACTTGAGGTACAGTCTCGATGCAAAAGGCTTGCTTTCCTTTCGTGTAACTTTTACTTATTTGCTCAATAATGAGGCATTTTTAGCAAAAGGAAATGACAGCAGGAATCTGTAGTTTCACCCTTTGTTGAAACATCTGGCATCTATCATACACAGTAAGAGCATAAATAGATGTGTCCCTTTCCAGAGGTTTCACTTTAGCCCACTTCTTGCTGTTGGCCAAGGCTGGTTGTGCCTTTTGAGAGTTGAAATTCAGCAACACCTGGACGGTGAGAGGATGCTAATTCCTGAAAGGGAACAGCTTGTGATGTCCTGGATTTAAGGAAGCTATCTAGCTCCGATTCCAAACTACTCATGCTCTTTGATCACTTTTCTGCTTCACTGTCTTTATCACTGCAGGGGAGGGGGGTGTTGGTTAAAAAAAAAGTTAAGATGCTGCAATCGTATGATTTAAGTCCTGATCCTTTTTCAGGTGCATTGTTTGATTTCCCTTTATTCAGTACTTTTATACCCGCTCCCCAACGTCTGGCTGAACCTAAAAACCCACATGCACGCAGCGCCCATTCAAAAGGGGAAGGACATCAATTCCATGGATGCTGACTGCCCCCAGCCCTCTGCAGATTCCCTGATCTTAGCTTAAGTAACCGTAGGAATTCTGACCAAGAACATGATGCTATACAGAAGAGTGTGTACTTCAGATATCTGTATTATAGTATGCCTAGAGCACGGGTGTCAAACTGCAGACCCGATGTGTCACGTGCAGGCCATGCCCACCTCAGCTTCTCAAAGGGAAAAAAAACATTGTGAAACATCGCGTGACGGCAACGTGACGCCACAAGTTTGATACCCGTGGCCTAGAACAAGGTTTCTCAACCTTGGCAACTTTAAGATGGATGGATATGACTGTGGAATTCTGGGAGTTGAAGTCCACTTATCCTAAAGTTGCCAAAATTGAAGGATACCAGCCTGGAGAGGTGAAGAGGTTGCATTTACAGCTACAATTAGTTTTTGAGGCAATAAATGCAAGGGAAATAATACACTGTAATGGGTATCTTATGACATAAGCTAGCTAGTTGTGAATAAAGGCATTAGGTCAGAAACCAGAAGACCCTGAGTTCCTGCCCTGCCTTAGAAATGGAAGTCAGTTAGGTGACTTTGGGCCAGTCACTCTGTCTCAACCCAAGGGAAAAAAACAAGGACAAACACTCCTGAAAAACCATTATGACCATATGAGCATGGCAAGAGTGACTCAAAGGCACAAATGATTTTGTCTCCATAGATTTTGTCTATGAAGAGTCTCAGCCATCCAGTTCATGGTTGTCCCAAAGGAGTTTTGTTTTTCATTGGATTTCGTTTTTTCATTGAAGAGATTTCGCTGAAACTTCTTCAAGAACTGAAGAAGCTTCTCGGATGAGAAGCGAAACCTCTTCAAGGAAAAACAAAGTCCAGCTGCCTTTTGGGGGGAGGGGGAAAACACCTTTGGGACACAAAAGGATTTTAATTTGAGCAGGTGAGATAAAACCATCATCTTAGCAACAATCCCGAAGTGATTTCTCACTGCCTTCCTTGAGGATATTTTTCCCACTCCCCAATCTAATCCACAGCATGCAAGAAAAACAATCTTCTAGCGCTCTGCCCAATACTGAAGGGCGATTCTACCGAAGCCTTTCCGATCAGCCACCGTCGGTTAAGTGCTGCCACCTACGGTGCCTCAATTCATATTACACACCTACGGCGTATTACAATTGGGATGCCAAACCTTTTCGGCAGGTTAGCATTCAGATGTATTGGTCACGCAATGTAACCTTTTCCAACCAAACAAGGTTGGACGGGGGGGGGGGGACGACTCAGGACATCCCGTTGCATTCCCGCCCAAAAAAACCTGAGGGAACTGCGAGCCGAGCCCCGTTTGCCCTTTTACTCGGGGTCGGGAAACGTCGGAGGCGTTGCTGCCCGCCCTCCTCTGAACCCGCCTCGACGCGACCTACCGCGAGAGGAGCCTGTGGGCGGGCATTGAAACGTCGGGTTCTTTCGCTCCGGTTTCGTTCCTGCACGCGCGACCTTTGCGGGAAGGTTAGTCCGGACTCCCCTCGCGTCGCTTCTCTCTCTTGCTTCTCCCCCCACCCCCGGCCCTCCACCCTTCAAGTTACCTTTTTAGCGGGAGGGAGACTGGAATATAAACGAGTTTGATTTGGCTAACGAATTTGGAATGGCGACGTCGACCCCAGATTTGTTTTTAGGAGAATTTCAGGAGGAAAATCAGAATAGGATTTTTTGGGGTGGGGTGGGGGTGGGGAGTTAGTTGCACTGGTAGCACGGGGACTTTCCGATTTGCACACTTTTAAACACGCATGTGACAAGTGCATGGATCTGGCAAAAATGGTCAGGCACAGAAAACATGCATCTGGCAAAATTGGTCAGGCATAGGAAAGTGGAAGCGCTTTTCTCTTACACACAGACACACACACACACACACGTGTGCCTTTCTGCCTTTCCCTGGCTGAGCCTGAGGGGAGGTGGCGACGAAATAGGCGAAGCCTCTGGGTTGCGCAAACCCCCTGCTTGCGCCTTGGGTGCTTTCCCTATACCTGAAATTCGAGTTAAAATGTTGCGGTGAAGCATAAACCGGTATCGGAGATGAGGTTTGTACAACCCATTCGGCTCTAAACGTGTGGCCGATGCTCCGCGACCACAAGCCACGATTAATTTGCTAGATCGGTTGTCAGACATGCGAACCAGGTTGGCGTGTAGCTTATCCAGAAGCAGCGTAGAAAAGCATTCTTGAGTCCCAACACATTTGGATCTGGGTCAGCTGCTTTTGAAGAATCGCGTGTCTTCCTTCCCCTGGCTTGCTAAAGTTTTGAGGGAATTTACCTTTTGTCCCGAGATTCGGTATTTATTTATTTTTACAACGGAATGTGAACATCTTTTTTTCAGCATAGGTAAACATTGCTCCGTCTTTTTTTTTTTTTTTTTAAAGTCGGTGGTATGAAATTTTTACAATCGGTTCACCCGAAAAGAAAATCTGAGTATATATTTTTTAAACAAATTCTGGATTTGGTATTTATTCATATTTATGTTACAGCATGAGTGTGGATTGGATTGGCTATGGTTATGCTGCATTGGTTGCCTCCGGTGGAGTAGCTGGCTATGTAAAAGCAGGTATAGTATCCCCCTTGTGTTTTCTCCAGCTTTCATCTTCTATCAGTTTGTGGGCACAATTAAAGTGCAATTTTTATTTGTCATGTTTATGTAGCGTGTATTGGAGGTGATGACCCTTTGAGAGCTGAATGCAATGAAATTTCATTTTAATGTATGCCGATTAGCGTACATTCAAAATGACAATAAAGTTGGTCTACGTTTAAATGTATTTTGGAATGTCTTACTTCATTACAGCATAATAAAATTGATTACTAGATTTGTCATTTTGCCAAAAACTTGGGTGGCTTTAAAAGTATAAGCAGCGCATACTCCATTCTACCACAACCCAAGCCCATCCTCAATTTCTGGACATTCCAAGAACAATGCAGCCCATAATTTCAATATAAAATACCTTAATTCCCAAACATTAATATAAACTGCCAGAATGCTAGGAACGAGGACAAAATTCTTGGCCAAAAATGCAAATAAACAGGCAAGATTTACTCTTCGAAGCTTGCCATCATAGAGAATTACAGTTGTTGCAGATTTCTCCTTGCAACAGTTTTGTAAATGAAGTCTTGTAAGCCCTGTGTAGCATTTCCCTTATTCCTGATGTGTCCCTCCCCCCAGTTCTGTTTTCTCTAAAGGGATGGTTAACTTGTAGCCTTTGCTAAGGGAATTCCCTCTTGCCAGAGCTTATCATGAGACCTGCTATAATTTGTGAACTAAAACTCAAAGCAGCTCTTTGCAGTAAGCCCTTTTATGACCTCTCCCACTAGAATAAAAGCTGGAAGAAATGCAGTTCATTACATCGACACATTTCATGTTGTGATTAAGTTTTCTGTTGTCTGCTTAAACTAGGCAGTGTCCCTTCCTTAGCTGCTGGTCTCATCTGTGGTGGGTTAGCAGGATTGGGTGCTTATCAGCAGTCAACGGATCCAAAGAATATTTGGCTTTCTCTGGGTAAGTATTTTTCTTGCGGCGCTATTCCACACACAGAGACGTTTGTTGCCTTTAACCTGTCCTAAGATTCAGTGTACTTGCGATCCAAGATTAATGGCAAAAACATAGAGGGGGGGAGAGCTGCCACAATGATACAAGATAAAGTCACATTTGCTCCCAACAGGTTGCTGCACACAGCTTGCCTTTCTTTTACACTGTGTTCTCAGCTGCAGCTAATGAAGGGAATCAGGGCCCTTTTCTCCCCTGTAAGCCTCGCAACCTACATTGCTCTTTTTTCTGTTCCTCCCTGTGTGCCCTAGGATGAAGAGGGGGTGGGCCTGGGTCTTCCTTTGAATTTCCTCTCCCTTGTTCTACCTCCCCCCCCCTGCTCTGCCCAGCTGGACTTTGCCCTTCCCCATTTTCTTCCACAGCCAACGGAGCCACATTCCCAAACCTTGTCAGCAGTTCAGCTTCCTCCTCAGAGTCAGGTTCCGACAGGGGCATGACACGTGCCTTCACACCACATTGCATGTAGGCAGCCTTCGCTTCTTGCCACTTCAGGTTGGAGCTCACACCTACCACACTCAGCCAAAGAGCTGTGGGTGGGGAACACGGCAAGGTGATGGCTGGAGCCTTAGTGCAGAAGTGAAGTGTCCCTGTACTGGCCTTCATGCCACATTTGCACTCAAGGCAGCCCTCGCCTCCCGCCACACAAGGGGGGAGGAGATGAGAGGGAATTCTCCCCTTTTCTCTCTCTCATCTCTCTCTTTCGTGCACACACACATACATACACACAAGCAGGATACCCTCCTGGGCTGGGATCACGGTGGCGGCAATGGCAACTCCTCCCTCTGCCGCCACTGCATGCTCGCATGAATAGCCGGCCGTGCAGGAGAGCCAGAGCTGTTTTCTCATTGCATTCAATGGTGGAGGCCTGAGCCGACACGAAGGGTTGCTGGCGCCGAGCTGCCCGTGAAGGATGCAGAATCACAAAAAGCAGCTGGTCGCAAATGTACTGCCCACAACCGGCTGCTTTCTGCGACTCCGCGTCCCTCGTGGGCAGCTCAGCACCAGCCACGGTCCCTTTCGTGTTGGCTCAGGCGAGAGAGAAATGAGAAAATGATGGAGGGAGAGAATGAGAGAGAGAAATAAATGAGAGAGAAGGGGGAAAGAAAGGAAAAGAGAGAGAGGGAGAGGGGGGTGGAAAAAGAGAGAAAAACAAATGGGAGAGAGGGGGACAGAGAGAGAGAGAGACTAATTTCCCAAGAAAACACCAGGAGCAACAAAACCTGGTTGTGGCTGGTGGTCATGTGACTGGATGGGCGTGGTGTTAAGTTGGCCATGCCCACCCAGGCAGTCATTAGGGCAGAGAGCCCCTTGCTAAAAAAATTGAAGCCCACCCCTGCATAGAACCATAAAAGTATTTGGCTATCTCACGATGTGTTCAAATTTTCACCTGTGAAATCTTTTTGTCATTTTTTTTGTTCACCTTGTAGTTTATGTGCATTTTAAGCTATCACTTTCTAAAGCAGGCAGACGTATGACCATTTTTCAGTTACAACCTTTGAAGCATCCCCATGATCAAAAATTCAGATGCTTGGCAACTGGTTTATACTTATGATAAGCAATGTGGAAGCCAGATTCACTTAACAACCAGGTTATTAACTTAACAACTGCAGGGATTCACTTAACTGTGCCAAGCAAGATTGTAAAATGCGGCAAAACTCAGTTAACAAATGTTTCACTTAACAACAACAAATTTTGTGCTCAGTTGTGGTCATAAGTCAAGGACTGCCTGTGATTGTATAACTAAGAGAGATATAGTAAAAAAGAACCCAGATTCATGATTCTAAAAACAATGTATGAGGGCAGGAAGTAGAAAATTTCAGTGTGCTCCATACCCACATAAAAGGGGATTTCTTATAGTATCAACCCTTTCCTTACACCATGTTTTTATTTGGTTGCACATAGTCTCCCATAAATGTCATAATCAAAACACAATAATTTGGGTTTTCATTTTTTTTCCTAGCTGCATCGGGAACCCTGACTGTCCTGATGGGAATGAGATACTATAACTCTAGAAAATTTATGCCTGCAGGGTTAATTGCTGGTGCCAGGTACAATTCCTATTTTCCCATTGTTAATTGTGGAATTATTGTTTGGAAACAATAAAAAAACTAGAAACAAAAAAAAAGAAAATGTGGTGGGTTTTCTTTGGATAAACACAAAACATTGCCAAGAACATATTTAATGTGTAAGCATTTACTAGCAAAATTTACTGACATGTTAATTTATTATTCAAACGGTGTATTAATGATGGATTTCTGTTTTTATTTAAACAGTCTATTAATGGTAGGCAAACTTGGACTACAGATGATGGAAAAACCTCTTTAGCCATAACTGTGCAACAACAAGCAGAAAGAGACCTACAGAGGACTGCCCTCAACAATGCCTGTTCGGAACAAAACTGAAGACAATATTAATGCTTTTTAAAATTGTACAATTTGCAAAGTTTTTAAACTTCAAATTATGCTCAGGTTTTGTAAAGTGTCAATCATTACAGAATTATAGTTTTCATATCTCTTTTCTCATGAATATATTTCTTGTCACAATTCCAAATGTTTTATGATGACGAAACATGGTTAAACAGTGCTGATGCCTTGTAGGAAATACACTTAATTTTGTCATCCTATTTCCAAATTTTGTGTCTCTATATCTGTATGTAAGATGTTCCACTCAAAACAAAAAGTTTAAAAGTCCCCTTTACAATTCACTGAAACTTATTAAATGTTTAAAAGCCTTTTGAATTGTGAGACTTATTTCCTAATTTTAAACGTAATTGAATTCCAAAATTTTAAGCTGTAATCTTTTGGGATTCAAGGCTAATTAGGCTAATTTTATGTGTACATGGAAACATTTCTCAATGAGTACCTGTCTTCAAATATATTATTGAATTCTGAACATGATGATGCATATAGAACAGTAGTATCTGTACCCACAGATCTCCTGATCATTCTTCACGTTTTTGTACAATTGGAAGTAGATAAAAACATGCTTAGAGTAGTTCCATTGAAATAAAACAACCAAGTTAATCATGTTTAGTAGTTTTACTCCAGATATAAATAAAAGACTTACTGCTTCTACAAAGCTTGAGAACATTTCACATGATAAGTCTTCATATGGCCAGATGAGTCTCTAAGAGAAATGGGCATCCCATTTGAAATTACTGGATGCTATATATATTTTAATGTTGCCTTAGGCTTTCCACACCCAGCAGTTCACTCAAATGTCATTTGATTTTGGTCATTTTAGTAATATATATAAAATACAAGCAATTATCGATAGGTCACTTCTATTGTAAAGAAATCTCCTTTTCCCAATATTTAGAAAGTAATTGTGTTTGAAAATGCAGGCTTCTGCTTTTCTCATATACCCAGGGGGAAAAAAACTTTTGTACAAACTTTCTTAGATTTTCAACAGTAAACACTGAGGTAACACAGGATTCATTGCTGTATGTCAGATGATATGATAATGTCCTTCTGTGAAGTGTTTAAAAGCATTTTAAAATCAGAAATCAGTATTACAGATAGTCCTTAACTTATAACCATAATGGAACCACTAATTTAGTTGTAATTTGTGATGATAAAGTGGGTCATTGTGTGTGATCAACCCGATTTGACCAGGGTTTGTTTTTTTTTGCAGCAATTATTAAGCAAATCAATTGTTAACCGTGGTGCATTTTCAAAAAATAGAAGTAAAAATAAATTTTTGACAACATTGTAAATTATTGTCATGTTAACTGTGGTAAAGCTGCATATAGAGCCATAAATGTGGGACTGGTTGCCAAACACCCAAACTGCAGTCATGGGATTGCCGGAAGGGCGGCCTTCGGAACCAGGTTAGAAGTAGTTTTTCCGGGGGCATGTTGTAACTTTCAATGGGTGCTAAGTGATTAATCATAAGTTGAGGACTACTTGCACTGTATTTTGATTAATACTTTATTGGATAAGAGCAAGAGCACAGATTAACTTAAGCACAAGCAAGGTCTCCTTTCTCAGTACAGAATTCTCTTATTTAAGGAAAAAAGCCTCAGTTCAGGAAAAGCGAATGTTCGGCATATTTGGAGAAAACACTCATGTTTTAATAAAATTATGCAAAAAAAAAAAAGTAACAACAGAGTTCTTTGCCATAGTAACTATCCTGTAGTAATTTCTTCCCATTTACATAACCAATTTTTAACTTTATCTTAGGTCAAAGGGATATAAGACACCAGGATTAATTAACATGTCTATCTTTCAAGAGTGTATAAAAAGACGAGTTAGTGCAGAAGGCATCAAGTTAAGCTGTTAATCACATAATGATACAGAGATTATTCTTGGGTGTACTGAAATATATTTCCAGGTGCCATTGAAAGGGTGTTTTAAACTTCTTAAACCTAATATGGTTTAGGCCTGATAATCTGAGAAATTACCTCTCTCTGGGCCTTAGAGATCAGCAAAGACCTCACAAACTTCCAAAATCAATTCATCAGGCACATGCTTTTCCATTAGTTCCAGGCTATGAAACATTATTGCAGATTTTATGCTTGACTTTTCTGCTTATGAGGAAAAAAAATCAAGATTTTTCTCTTCAATCAGCCTTTTGAGCTGCCTGGAGATTAGTTTCTATTTGTATAAAAATATATTTTATATGAATAAATTGTTGGTTGTATTTTTTATTTATTTATTTAGCCTACCAATCAGCTTCAAAATACCAGGATAGAAAATTAGGATGTACAAACAAATAAATATTAAGCTATAAATAAATAAATAAATAGCTTTTTCTGATGGAAGACTTCTATAATATGTTGTGTTCCTGAGAAGTTCACTTTATTACAAAACAAATTATTTTCAGTTGAAAACCAGTCCAGCTGCAAAGGCAACTTTGTGGTGTTTTTATATGAAACTTTTAGGTAGATTCCTTTAAGACAGCATTTCCAACACAGTAAATTATATAAGTTTTGAGAGACTGAAATAAGTCAGTTCCTGCTATTCTGTATTGGGATAAAATATTGTACACATAACGGCAACTTTAAAAATTATTCAATAATTGGCCTTTATATTATTAATTCAAGGTTTCATTATGTAAATACACTTAGCAGTAAATCCTACTGAAATTGAGACAGCATATTTACGTGCATTCTTCCTTAAGTCTTAATTCAAATCAAATATGTCCTCCACAACAATAGTGTACAGTTTTTAAAAATAACATACATAAAATACTTTTCAGTATGCAAATAACATTTACAATTGAATAATAATATATAATATGTGCTATTTTAACAAGTATGGATTGTCAATTTCAATATAACAAATATATTTAGCAGTTGGAAAAGCATAGTTTTAAGAGTGACTTCTGTTAGATAAAGCAAGTTTTTATATATTAAAGAAATCATTAAAATATCAACTTGAAATATCCCATATATTTTGGGCCATTGTATACTTATGACATTCAAAATATGTCTTTAGGCCAGATAATGCTATCTATGCTATACAACAGAATTAGGTTTGAAGAATAAATCCTGGCAGTTATTACCAGATTTTAAGCAATTCCTTTAGGAATTAAAAGAATTCTGGAGTTATTCAGCTCTGGTTACCAAGTGAAGGCACTACAGTTAAGTTGATTGATTCTGTGATAAAATTCAACTAAAAATTAAGGGAAAAAGCAAAGCTACAAAGTTACTCAGACCTAAAAATTATTTCTGAAATACCATCAGAATGCCTTCTTAGAAAGTCACAAGTAATTATTCAAATGCTTATTTTCTGTTAAATAATGCTATCTGGCATTCTTCCCAGGAAAGGATCCTTCCTGAATACCATTCACTCATAATATTTCCCAATTGCAAGGCCAAATCTGCATATAATGCCCTGGAAAACTTTCACAAATGGCTCCACAGATGCATTAAGTTTCTATTTCCCAAACACTTCTGCAAATAAAAGTTCCCCTCATTTCAGAATCAACAGTAACAGTTGATATGTGTATATAACTATATCTATGCAATACAGGATAGCCTGTAAGCTCTTGGGATCAGGACCAATGCATAGCATAGATGAATACCTTTCTTTGCTGCCTATAAGTTCCATAATCATAACCAGAGACGTTGTTCACAGATCAAAGGAAAATGGTTTAACACCTTCATGTGTATATTCACAGGAATCATATACAAGAGTAATCCTATTCCTGCAAAATCTAAAATAGAACTGAACCTTAGGGGTACACCACTTTTTTACAATACTAGTAATAGTGACTATGTCTTCATTCTCTGCAATCAAAAGAAATAAAGGGATAAGTCAACTCAAATCAAATTAGTTCAGCTTTAGTTTCTCTGATTATAGTTGGGCAATACAGTGGAAAATTCATCTACTACTAATTTTTTGCTTTTATTACTCAACTCAGCGTTATAGAAGTACCACATCTTGAAAGTGACTCTTTATTTTTATAATTTATTGCCTATTTAAATTAGCCACGATTGTCCAATGGCTAATATATTTACATGCCTTCGTATTTTTGACAGTTCTTCAGAAGAAATGATCAAAGGGGCTGCAAACCAATTTCTGTTCATTTCAGTAAGAATATGCAAATTTTTAGTTTTGGCAAAGTAACTTTATAGAGAATACTTTGTAATGTAAGCAAAACAAAAAAAGCCTGTCTCAGAGGCACTATTTTTGAAGAATATTTGCTAAATAAACGTATTTATTTTCTATATTTTTCCCTTAAGAGATAATAAACTACAGGCTCTCATATGTTTCCAGAATTGTTATTCTATTAGTAGAAATATGCTTTAAAGTGTCCCAGAGGCAAAGAAATAAAGGATATAAATAGTCATGGTATGCATACGTGATGCAGGAAAGTACTTTTACCGATGCCCTCCGTACTTGGCTACCCAGTCAGTTCTTCCATGCACAGATTGCGCTGGTGGTGGATGAGTTAAAATGTTCATGCCTTTTGTGGCGGGGCTGTAAGTAGGCCCTGGCAATTGGGCACGAGAAGCTTTGGTTTTCCAAGCATATTCTGAAAACAAAATTACAAAATCAATACAAGCAAATCCACTGATTATAGATCTTGCTAATACATTATTTCCCTCTTAAAATTCATAGCATATACTTCCAAGTAAGGATCTTTATAGATAAAACTATGCTGTATTCCAAAAAGATTAGAACATAGTGATAAGAAAGGAAAGAAATACATTTATTATTGCAGAATGTTTTTGTTTCTACAGTCATAGTAAGCCTTTGTTATTATAGCTATAATAGGTTAAGGAGCTCGGAAAGACAGCAAAATGGAAACAGACTGACAAGGGATAAACAAAGTGTCAATAGCATGATTCTATATACTGAGCAGTGGCAAAAACTTCAGAATAGCATATATATGCTTTCAAATATAGAAGTGTGACAGAAAAAGTGGTAAAAGTCATCTATTAATCACCCAGATGTCCAGAGAACTACTATATGTATGAACAAAGAGTTTGAATTGTATTTTGATTGCATTTGTGATGATCAGCCTTAAGAATTCATTTTGTATTTCAAAATGATGATTGTTAATACACCATGGAGATTATTGAAGTGCTGAGCCACTAATGTGTTTATTTTATGAATTCAACAGTACAGAAATGGGAGTTCTTTGCATATAATGTCAGTTGACTAATTCACTTGGAATGGGGGAATTAAATTCTATTAAGTTTTCCTCAATACGCATAGTAAACTGAATGTGTTTTCCCGATTTACCAAAGACCAAGCAGAATAAAAAAGTCAGGTCTTGTCATCTCAAATTGCTGTTCCAAGGTTCCCTACCTCAAGACTGCTCTGCCTACACCCTGGGTCCATGTTCTCTTGCTAAAAATCCACTTCCACAGCCCTTATATCCAGGTGGAGGTAACGAGCCACCTGCAACAGCGAGTCAGTAAAAGACAGATTTTTCTAACAAAATTGTCACTTTCTAAAACATGGGGTTTCAGCTTGGGTTTTGCAATGCACCTTATTCCCTTTGACATTTAAGCTTTTTTCAAGATAAAAAATTCCAAATAAATGTATACTATCCTGAACAGAAGAACATAAAATAGTTTAGGGATGAAATGGTGCAGGTACTACAACAAATAGGCAAGACTATAGGTGAGAATTTGAGTCTTGTTCATTGACTCTGACTGCACTGGTATGTCTGGCCATCTAGTAGGGGTCAATTGTCGTGCAATTTTAAATTAAATATTGTATTATTTATGAATCATAGAGTAACAAATTACTAAAACACAACTTAATACAATGCAATGTATGTCTGCTATATTAACATTTGGGATATATTTAACAGCAAGCATTGGAAGTATTTTGAAATTTGCCAGTAACAAAAGAAATGATTACTATATTTATCCAAAAGAAAGGTGAGCCCTTCCCAAATGAAGAGCAGTTAGGAGAAAAAAAATCTTACAATACAGACACAAGTTATACAGTGTCCACTTTTCACATCTCATTAATCCTAGCTATAAATCCATCCTTAATATTTCCCTTCCTGAATAAATGCATGCTTGTAATGCACTACTGTATGTTTGTATTGTTAAATATGTGCACTTTTATTTCCTAAAGGGCCATATTAAAAAAAAGGAAAATAAAACTGAGCTCCAAACTCAACAAAATAGGTCTGATTGTGGTGCTCATCTTCCCATATGGTTCTCAGCCATCAGAAGTTTGTTCACAGATGTATTTTAACTGGATGCTACAGACATATCAAAATGAAGGTTTTTCTTCTATGGATTTGGAAAGAAACAAATTTTGTTCTGGAAAAGGAAGGTCAATTAAATTTTGGATGATGAGGAGGATAAGGATTGATAGGAGTCTCCAGTTAAATCTTGTGTAATATAAATTTAATTTAATACATTATATCCCGAGTATAATTCAACAAATCTACCTACCTAGGCACCAACCCAAATCCTTTTTAAAAAGCACAACAGATGAAGAAATTAAAGCTATGTAACTTCATTCATTTCAGCACAATGTAAGTAAGATCATTGTGTACCTGTAACTGATGGCCCAAGAGGTGCCAATTGTATCCTCTGACCTGCTGAACCAACCTCTTTTTTGTGAAATGAAGGGATATATCCTCCAGGAGCATTGTAAGTAGCACCAATAAAGCCAGCATTTCCTACAGTAATAAACAAAATTAAAATTCAGGAGAGGGCTTGATAGCAAAAACATCCTTACAAATATCTGGAATGAATGAGTAAATAAACCAGTCAATCAATATTATAATACTATTCATAAAGAAGAATCTCTAATGTACTCTTTACTCATAATTAATTTTATTGTGTGATATGCAATATACACATTTGTGTAGTATATTTTTTTTCAAGAAAGCTTTACAACAAGAATGTATATGCAGATTGACATTTTTTGCATGATGATGGTCTCCTGGTTTCTAGACTGGTGCCTTAACCAATAAACTAGACCAAACTGGCCCTCAAAACCTTGAGCTATTATACAAAAAAGAAACAATATCAATCAAATAAGGAAAAGTCCCTCTCATAAAATATAAGGTTCAAAATTCTTCACCCTGAGTTAAGTTTTCCTCCTACCAAAGGTGGAACATAGAAAGCCAACTATAGCATAGTTTTAAAAAATCCTACCTCCATTCTCCCAATGTTGGCTTCCATTACTACATCTTACCAAACATTGTTATCCTTTGAAGATAAGCTTTTGGAAGGTTCTTGCAAACAGGATTTTTGCTCTGCTAATCCAGTCAAACTGATTTAATAATATACAGGTAGTCCTTGCACCTTTTGTTTAGTGACCGTTTGAAATTATGATGGAGCTGAAAAAAGTCCAGTCCTCACATTTATGATGGTCTTCACACTTATGACTTTTGTATCACCAGCGGTCACATGATCATAATTCAGATGCTTGGCAACCAGCTTGTATTTACAACCCATTATAATGTCTTGCAGTCATGTGATCACAATTTGCAACCTTCCCAGCTGTTTAATGTAACAAAAAATGAACATAATGACCACCTCACTTAGGTGTGGAAATTCTGGTCCCAACTGCGGTCATAAACACTATGTGTATTCTTAGAATGCATTCTATAAACAACAGTAACAGAATAAAATGACAGAATTAACCATTTTGGATTAGCAAACTGTGACAACAGAAACAGATATAAAGTGCTAATAAGAGGTTTTTTTTTTTCGTATTTTGGAGGTATTCCTCAAGAGTACAATAAATTATAGAGAACAATGGTGAAATAGATAAAGTAAAAAAATCTTTATTACTGTATATATAATACACAAATCAACAAAGCAGTTTTTGTTTTTTGTTTGTTTCTGTAGTGAAGTGACAATTTTTTTTTTGCATTAGGAAACTAAAGATCTAACTGTTCTCACAATTCAAAAAGACTGTTAAGAGATGCAGATTAAGACAAATATATTATTTAAAAAACTGATGGGATTTAAGCAGAAGTTGAACCAATAGAAGAAAGATGATGAGGTTGAGACTGATTGCTCAGACAAAAATCAATAAAGAGAACTTAAAAAGATAAACTTCATGTAAGGGAGCTAAAATCGTCTGGCTGTTCTTACAGCCAGCAATGTAATTCTTTTGTACAAGAACAACAGGGATGGGATGCTACCGGTTCTGCCCGGCTCTATAAAACCGGTAGCTCTGAAGAGTAGCAGACACCAAACCAGTTCTGTGTCTGCTGCTGTTTGGCCCACCCGTCCGCCTGGGCTCTTACCTGTCCTTTATTTCCTGCTTTTTCAACCTCAGCTGCTTTGCATGGCACAGCTGAGTTGAAAAAGCAGGCAAAAAGAGGCTTTTCAAACAATGTGTACCTGCGCGGTGTGCTTTTCAGCTGTCCGGGAGGCACAGCTTAAGGTTTTTTTACACGCACAGCATGTAAAAAACGTAGTCACCGAACCGGTAGTAACACCGGTTGAATCCCATCCCTGAAGAACAATATATGATACAGACATAGAAGTAACCAATTTGGAAAATTGGATACTTCTTTGGTCATCCCACTGCAAAAAATTACTACGTAGATGAACAGTAAGCATAAAACAGTAGATAAAATGATAAGGAGATTGGTATGCTTGCCATTGAAGGAAACCCGAAGGCCAAAATAATTTGATGTGATAGTATTTACAAACTAACACTGGATAAAAATGGACAGATCAAAGATGGGATTTCTATTGTATACTAGAATCTGGGGCATCCCAATGTAATTTATAGCAGTAAATCCAGGACAAACAAAAGGAAACATTTCCCTCACACAATTGATGTGTGACAGTTCACTATTATGTATAGCTGTTGACAGAAATATGCTTAATAGTTCTTTGATGTGAAATCTGAAAAAGATATTATATATCCTTTTCATTCATCAATATATTAAATGAATTCTAGACAGGTTAAAAAAATTGTGGCATTTACTACGTTATTACGCACATTATTACGGTTTACAAAAATGAAACCGAAACAGAAGAAATATATTTGGCAGGAGTCAGCTTCAGCAACCTTACTTTGAGATATTGGCCTTAATATTTCATTCAAACTTTCCACAAGTGTAAAGTGTAACCAGATAATTATAGAACAGCATATCTGTAAATGTATGCATTTAATAAAGCACTTATTCACTACATATTTCTAAATAGTTACGTATTTATTTATAAGCTGCTTCAATCATGAATCATGAAGTAATTCTAGGCAGTAAGAAGGCAACACTACTAAGGTTAAGAAAACATAAAAGCAATACATACCATGTTTCTCCAACAATATGGCCGCCCCCAATAGGAAGTCCAGCTTGTTTTATAGGCATAAAATGAAATTAAGCCCCTCCCCCCAAATTAAGGCCTATTTTAAAACATGCAAAATGGGGGGAAGAGCGGGGGGGGGCTTGCCGTTAGGAGCGCCCTGTGGGCAGCCATGCTCACCACCAACCTCCCTACTGTCGCCAAGCACTTTTGCTGCACATCCAGGTATGGTGCTGCCTGCATTGACCTCGGCGTTGGTGGGGCACTTCGTAACGGGAGACCTTCTGCCACCGTTGCTTTCCCTTCTCCCCGTGCCGCTGTGGTGTTTGGAGCATCGCCGCGGCGTTGGCACAGCCATGCGGGGCTGGCCCGGGCTCCTCCCTGCAACCGGAGCCCGGCGGAGACACTCGGGTTCAGGTGCTCCTGTCGCCGCCTTCCCGGGCATCGTTCGAAGGCAAAGCCCATTCTTTTAGAAATGACGCCCTACTACGACAAAGCCTCTCCTGCCTGAGAGGGCAGCCCAACCCCACGTGGGGAGGCAAATCTCCCGGGGCTGCAGTGCAGGATCGGCCCACCCCGGGAGAAGCGCCCAGCTGCCATCCCTGCCTGGCGCCGGGCAGAGCGCGAAGAGCTTCGCCTGGGGCGCCCAGCGCAGCTGACAGGCAGGCCCTCCTGCCTGGCGGCGGAGCTCTAGCCAAGGCAGCGAGCGCCTCCCCGACGGGCCCTCCGCTCATCCCGCCAGGGCCGTGCCGGAGCCGGGTAGGCTTGGCAGAGCCGGGAAAGCGAGCCGCAGGTGCGCGTGCACCTGCCAAGCGAAAGAGCCAGGCCAAACCGAGCTTGGCTTCCCAAGTCCCTCCAGCCCAACCCTGAAGGGGACACCGGGAGAGCCCGCCCGAGGCAGTGATAGCGCCCACCTGTCTGCAGACAGGGAGGCAAGGTGATGGCAGCGCTGCTTCCCTGGCCGGCAGGTCCAGTGGAGAGAGCCTAAAGCCACCCGTCCTTTCCACCCCTTGCCCAGCCCGTCCCCGTCCCCACGCATCTCCAAACGCGCCGGGAGCCCCAAATGCGGCAGTGACGTTCCAAACACTGCAGCGGCACAGGCATCGGGCAGAGGCGCTCACTCGGCAGGGCTCAGCTTGGAGGACGTGGTGCTGGCCGTCACCTCGCCTCCCTGTCTGCAGACAGGTGGGCGCTATCACTGCCTCGGGCAGCCTCTCCCGGTGGCCCCTTCGGGGTCGGGCTGGAGGGACTTGGGAAGCCAAGCTCGGTTCGGCCTGGCTCTTTCGCTTGACAGGCACGTGCACACCCGCAGCTCACTTTTCCGAATCTGCCCAGCCCGCCCGGCTCCGGTTTCAGCCCTGGCAGGATGAGCGGAGGGCCCAGTGGGGAGGCACTCACTGCCTTGGCTAGAGCTCCGCCGCTGGGCAGGAGGGCCTGCCTGTCAGCTGTGCTGGGCACCTCAGGCAAAGCTTTTTGCGCTCTGCCCGAGCCAGGCAGGGATGGTGGCTGGGCGCTTCTCCCAGGGTGGGCCAATCCTGCACTGCGGCCCCAGGAGATTCGCCTCCCCATGTGGGGTTGGGCTGACCTCTCGAGCAGGGGAGGCTTTGTCATAGTAGAGCGTAGTTTTTAAAAGAATGGGCTTTGCCTTCGAACGATGCCCGGGAAGGCGGCGACAGGAGCGCCTGAAGCCGAGTGTCTCTGCCGGGCTCCGGTTGCAGGGAGGAGCCCTGGCCAGCCCCGCGTGCCTGCGCCAAATGCCGCGGCTATGCTCCAAACGCTACGGCGGCACGGGGAGAGGGAAAGCAATGGTGGCGGAAGGTCTCCCAATACGAAGTGGCCTACCAACACCGAGGTCAACATCCAAGCCGTCACTGCCTGCCCGCTCAAGGATGCAAGAGGGGGAATTAAGTCACCCCCAAAAAGATGGCCTAGCCATTTTTTCAGGGCTCAAAAAAAAAAAAAAAAGAAGACATGGCCTTATTATATGAGAAATACGGTACTATATTCTATATAAATTAGAATAGAATATCGGGAAATAAATTACTATGCAGTACCCAATGGCCTGTTGCAAGAACTAAGTTTTTACAGTTATGCAATAGCCCAACAATGTCAGGGCCATTCAAGGGAGGAGGGGAGATGCTTCACAGGGTAAAGGAACCTTCAGAGAAAGTATGCCTCAAGGTGACAATATTTTACAACCTCGGTCCTGAAGTTCTTTCTTCCAATGCCTAGACTAATTTCAAAACCAAACCTTCCTGAATTATTGTTGTCTATATCATTATCACCAAGGCAGAATACCTTTTTTCCCTGTACCAAAGACAGTACATTCTCATATATTTATGTCACTTCTTTCAAGTGTGTTGGGGAAATAGGAATAGTTGGATAGCATCTCCCTCAGATCTCAGCGAACGAGGCAAGGAAGCAAACAATTTACTGGAACGGAACCAGCCCTCTTAAGCTAGTTCTTTGAAGGAATTTTTAAAAAAGAGTAATGTCAAATTAATTGGACCCCACAAAACATTCATCTCAGATCCTAATGACCTCTCCTGAATTCTTACGGTAAAAGGCCAATTGTGGAGATTCAAGGAAAACAACCAAATTTCTATAAGGAATGTAGAAGACCTTTCCATTGAAAAACAAAGATTGCTTCTGCTTCTGAATTCCAAACAGAAGCACAGTAAAGTGTGTCAACCAGGTAGATGGCGGGGGGAGAGAGGGAAAGCTAAACAAGTTACAATCTCTGTATGATTTATACTTCAATTCAAATTTAATTATTTAATGACTATGTATGTCATCCAAGGAGACTCTTTTTAAATACTGATATGGAGTCCAGGCAGGAGAACTGCTTACTTCTTGCAAGGATGTCAATAAATGTTTAAAGTGCTGCCTTTCCCAAGAAAATCAAACAAGGACTTAGAGGATGAAATGGAACAGCTAATATATCAGTGACCACACACAGTATTTGCTGGTACAGGTTCTTTATAAATAACAGCATGATAGCAAGTACTCTTATGGACACAATACATAAAAATACACAAACGTTATGAGTGATACCTTCATTTCAATAGCAATGTTTTTTGCAAACAGAATGGGGAGTATATTATTTTGCATTTATTAAATGGTATAGGGAAATTTGCATAAACATACTAATCTCTTCCATCTTTGTGGGTTTTCTCTGCTATTTTTTTGATTTAGACAAGGAAGATGATAAGAATATGGCTATTTCAACCATAAATTAAAACGTATCAGTCTCCTCCTCCTCCTCCTCCTTCTTTCTTCTTTTCCAGCATAACTCTGGAAAGCCTCAAGCAATTTCAACCAAACTTGGTATACAGATGACTTATCCTCTGGAAACAAACACTGTGGGGGTAAGACACCTCTAACATCCCTCGGGGTGTGTCTGTGTGTGTGTGTGTATTCCAACATAACTCTGGAACGCCTGAGCTGTTGAAATGAAAAGGAATGAATTAAATCTATAGTGTCAAATCACAGTACTTTTGACACTGATAGCGTGCATTTTGGATTCAAGTACTGTTAAGATTCAGCCTGTTGTGCCTTAAAATGGCTTCTACTGAACCGCACAGTGCAGCTACCATGGTAACGGCTTCACAGTACTCCACAAGGGGGCTCCCTCTGGTAAGGGCATTGGTTCTTTTAAAAAACAACAACACCCTAGGCCCTCAGCTTCAAGCAAAGAGGGCAAGTTGTCGGGGGAGGTGCCTGCTAATGCAGATGATCACCTCAAAGGCTGTTTCCTATAGAATGGCTGTTCTCCAGGGCAATTAGGTCTCTAATTCTCACTACAATGGTTGAGGTAACAGGGCCAGGCCCAAGTGTCTTTTTCTTACATTTACTTTAATGTATTCCATAATAATATATTTCATTGCTGTAACAATGCCTCCAAGGAAATGTCAGGCAATTGGCCAAGTGCAATCAAAGGCAACAAAAATGAAACACCAGCGTAGACAAGAAACTCCCGAGAGGAATAGAAGATTTGTGACGCTGCGAGAGAGCTACTACATCTAGAACTTCAGAGATACTACAACAGCAAGAGGCCCAACTAAAGGATAAGAGAGGATAAGCTACTACATCTAGAGCTTCAGAGACAGTACAACAGCGTGAGGTCTGACTACTATAGATATAACTCATTCCTTTTCCTGTCTAAATACAGGATTGGGATAAATAAATACCCGGGCAACGCCAGGTTATTAGCTAGTAAAGAAATAAATGATTACTGTATCAAATGGTGTGAAATCATATACCCATAGTTTCTGGGTAGCACACAATGAAACAAGTAACTAGAAGACGTCTTATGACTTGCCAACCAATTAAGTCTATCAACTACATCTCTTTGATCAAAGAATATTTCAAATACTGGTAGTCCTTGACTTATGACAACAATGGAGTCCAAATTGTTGTTAAGTGAGAAGTTTAAATGAGTTTTACCCCTTTTACAATCTTTCTTGGTACAATTAAGTGAATAAAAGCAGTTGATAAGGTAGTGATCCAGTTATTATGTGAATTTTACTTCCCCATTGACTTTGCTTGTCAGAAAATTGCAAAAGGTGATCACATGATCCTGGGTCATAGCAATGGTTATATGAACCAGTTGCCAAGCATCTGAATTTTTGATCACATGATCTTGGGGATGCTGCCAAAGTCATAACTGAAAAACAGTCATGTCACATTTTTCAGTGCTGTTGTAACTTTGAACGGTCATTAAATGAACTGTTGTAAATAGAGGACTATCTATCTTCTTTTCTGCATAGCACATGAAAGCAAACCAGCACTCATAACAATATGATCTACTGCCCCATTCACAAGTTCAATGCAATTCATCTTTCAAAGTCACAAATATTGCCGGAATGTAGCAGCCCAAGTGGAAGCAGAAATGATATTCCATTCCAGGAAACTAAAATTCTCCATAATTAAAACATATTGCAGATATGCAGGAAATGGGCTCCTGAGTTTTTATCAAATTACAACAATAATAACTTTACCGGATATATTGTTCTTGATGCAAAACAGTATGAGTAAAATATCATAATGCTTATGTAAAAGAAACCTTTTTTCACAAGATTTTTCTATATACATAAAACCGCTAAACTGAAAGAATGTTAAATTATAGATTTTATAATGTATGAGAAGTTAATTGTAATTATGCTTAGTTAAAAACAGAACAAATCTGAAAGGAAATAAATCATGTTATATGTAATTGCCGTTCATTTACCTTTGGGATCCTCTAATTTTTCATTCACTCTTTCTTTGCATGAGAGTTTTTCAATTGGTTTAATTAAGTTTTCTTCTTCAGAGAAGGCAATAAAACAGATGAAAGGAAAGGATGAAAATAAATGCTTTAGAAAAACAGAAAAACTGGATGAAATGAATGGAAGAAATAATAAGAATAAAAAATAATAAAAAGAAACAAATCTGAAAATAAAGTTTAAACAAGCTTTGCCAATTAGTTTCCTACCTACAGACAAGATCAATTTTAAGAACAGCAACCCTAGACCCATGTTTATTGTAATTCCAAATAAGATACATACATTTTAGATTGGTAGAAATGAAAATACCTATTGTGAGAAGGTATTACTTTTAATAATCCATAAAAAGACTTTTATAGAATTTTGAAATAGGTTTATGATTCAAAAAGAGTGCTTCAAGATTTTGGAGGAACATGAACACAGAACCCATCCATGTCTCATTAAAGAAGCATTATCAAAGTCTAGGATCATGCAATGGCTGCACAGAAGCTTCTGATGCAGTTGTTTGATCCTAGAAATGACTTGCTTAAATGACTACGGGGCAGGTGCTCTGTTCACATTAATTGCTGCCCTGAAGAACCTTTCCTAAGTCAGATCATGAACTGAGGTTGGCAACTGTATAAATAAATAGTCCTATCAGAATATATAATTTACCTCAAGAGGGATGAATTCTGTCTGACTCCCAAATTATTGATAAAACAATTTTTTAATGTTATGCAAAGTTTATCAATTCTGTTTTTGTACTGTACAATTTTTGAATGCAGAATTCTTCCAGCCTCAGCCTTTCATTTTAAGTCATCCAGAAATGGATAGCCTCACCTTAATCCCCATGCGCATTCATAAAAAAGGAAAAATATTAGGTGGTACTATCCAATACTTCATTTTGAAGCATTCCCGGTCTTTGGGGAATGAAGGGAAAGAAAGAAAGAAAGAAAGAACAGGTAAATTGAGGAATTGAGTTGGCATATCGAGAAGACAGAAAAGAATGGAAGGAAACTTAGATGGGAATGTTGTTTGAGTTCTTTACACCTGTTGTTGCTCTGTGGGAGTGATGATATGTAGGAGATTTGTTTTAATGAGATATTGATAGTCCCTGGTCAATTTTAGGCAGCGGCTAGAGGGGTCTAATCAACTAATTAAGGTCACAAAGCTGAGCTTCTTAACTTTCCCTTAGCACCTTTTAGGTAAGTACTATGCTGGGGAGAAGAACAGTTCAGGAAGAGGTGGTCTGTTTAAGCGATCTCTCTATCTTGCCAGGGGGATAAACATGGGCCAGGCGCAAGAAACGATACCACATTAATTGCTGACTGCAATAGCAGCAGCCAGTGAACTTCACAGCATCTCCGTCTTTCTGTCACGTGGCTTGCTTAAAGACATGAGCATGTCACCCGAACCAATTGCAATCAGACACTAAACAAGGACTACCGGCATGTATGTAGTGTGTTTTAATTTGGAAATTTCTACGTTCTTCTCTGACCTGGTTTCAAACCAATGAAAGAATGATGGAAGTGAATTTGTTACATGAACACGGTGTATCAACAATTTTCATTGGCTACAAAAGAAAAGCCCTTCCAGGCTATGTTCAACATTGCACGTAATGTTGGGGGGATAACAGTGTCACAACTACGGCTTAAATCCAGTTAACCTATTTATGCCACCTAGCAAGAAAGTTACACATCCTGATTATCTAAACACATAAGCACATACACACTCTTATTTTGATACACCATCAAGTGAGAGAAATAATCTCTTGTGAACTTCAATATCTATTTTTTACTACTGAATAGCTGAAATGTCATCAAACATAGAAACAACCTCTGGTTGCATATATGCTGTGATCATCTCTATGTGAATCCAAACCACTATTCAAAACTATGCATATTAAACTGGGAAATGGCATTTTGCTTGAAAATAATTGTGGAAATAATAATAAATTTTATAAAATACATTAAAAACTACATAGGATGTGTAATACTGTATTACATTAATTACCTGCATTGACTTGATTGAAAGACAGACCTCCAATTGGCGCTATTGATTTTGAAAACAAAGGATTGTTGCAAGTACCATGGATTCTTTCTTTAGTGACTGCTCCTGAGGAAACATTCTTAGGGTTTACACCTTTAAGAAATTATCATGTTAAAGGTTAATATCTATCAATCCCTCAGGAAGTCACAGTATATTCTTTGCTAGATGGCCATGTCATGAATACAGGAAGTATAAAAAAATACTTCCTATTGAAACTAATTTTAGAGTCAGATTTGAAAAAAAGTAATCCTTAAAGAAAGTCATAAATAATTTAAGTTACACTTGCTTAATGACTCTAATTGAGGGTAGAATTTCTGTCACTAAGTGAAGCGGTCATTACGCAAAACATATGACCACACTGTTTAGCAACAGCAATTCTGGTAGTTTCAATTGTGCTCATTAGGCAAGGACTATATCATTGTTAGATGAGGTCCATTATTCTCTTATACTGTGTGAATTGGCAGCTTCATCTCACCGCCTTCTCCCCAGCTAGGCGTGGTGAGTTCCCTTCAGCAGATGAGGTTCCACCACCCTGCCATGCTCACCTCCGCTTCAAATCTCCACACCCAGATATCTCTACCCTTTTGGTCACCCCATATTCCACCAAGGTCACTTTTCCCTTCTACCCCTCTGCTATTTTCTTCTTCCCAGTGCTCACAAGGCATACTCAGCCAAGATCAGGCCACAGTTTGTGTACTGCCTGCATGTCGCAGATGAAACTTCACTTGTTTGCATGGCCCGGTTTCTGGCACGCCACGGACCGGGGGTTGGGGATCCTTGATCTATAATATGCAGTTTAATGACTGTAACAGCCACTATGCAAGGCAGGCAGGCAGAAGACTAGTAGTGTGCATCCATGAACTCCAATTAGCAGTCAGAAAACACAATGAAGACTCCTTAATATCACAACACATTGACAGACTCAATCATAGTTTCAACTGGGAAACTGTGACCATCTTAGATCAAGCTAAATTCAAACTAGGGAAACCTGGCAGTCAGACACATGGGCCACCAATAGAGATAAACTATATTTAAAAGAGACAATAAAAAAAGCTGAGAAGGAAACAGAAAGATCAAAACATATCCTCTCCAGCAGCCTACACCCACATAAGCAAGGATTAACATCAGACAAACAACCAAGCAGAAAGCAATTTCCTAATCAAGGAACTCCCAAGAAGAAAACCACATCCCACCAACACTGCCAAGGCAAGCTACTGTATATAAACAGGGAGCAAACCCCACCAACAAACATCTGCAAGCAAACCACAAAGATCAGAGAGCACCCAGCGCTCCACTTCTAACTGGAATGCAATGCATATGGCATGGTGGGTGGAGGCTTGGACCTCTGCTGATTCTTATGAAAAGTCTTCAAACTTTTCAAGGACAGTTAAAAAGAAAATGGAGAACAAACCACCTCCCAAGATCTCAATTACTATCAGTTCAGGGATTGATAGCATCTAATATCAGCTCAGGGACTGATAGCACCTACTATCAGTTCAGGGACTAGCTGCTTCCTCAGCCCCCAGATCTCCCATAAACAGAAACATACCAGAACATGTCACACTGCTCAGATTTTAATCTGAAAAATACAGGAGAAGATAGCTTCACAGACCCTAGATTGCAGATGAAATTACGAAAATCTAGGCCAGCTACTAATGGCTTAGGTCTTGTCCTTAACCTGCTTCACCCAGCTCTGAAAGAGAAAATGCAAACAGCAGAGGCAAAAGGGCAGTTATTAAAGCCTATCTTAGGGGGAAACTACTCTCCTGATGGACACCTGATTTTCTTGGGCTTTGTTATTTTTAACCATTAATCATCTGGTCAGATTATTATTATTTCAGTGTCCAGACATTTTAAAGTGGATTTTTTTTTTCATATTTGCTATAGCAGAATATTGCATGGAATGAGATGAGTGAATGAAAAACACTTAAGTTGAAAAAGGCAGCAAAAATAAAATAAATGAACACATATACACATCCACACACACGTTTTGTTAACTGAATCTGATAATGCATTAAATAATTATTGCCTCTTACCAGGAATGTACCTTGATTGTTTCAAATAGTACTGTTTTGCTGAAGTAGTTGATATTCCAGAGTCGTTTCTCTTCAGAACTTTGTTTTCTCCTGATCTGCCAGAGGTAGGAGACTTAGACTCAGGAACGCTGAAAATAAACATCGCCAATGAATTCTTAGTCTAGAAAAACCAAGTTTCCTGAGGAGCTTGTATTTTAATTCAGTGAAGAGTTGAATAGCAAGAAATGACACGGGATAGGAAAATAGATGAAAGGAAACCTTTTTCCGAATAAACTCATCACGATTTAAAAACATAGCATTTTTACTGTGCCATACAGGACTAACACAGATCCTTTCTAATCCTGTGGAGAATGATTGTGATGTATATAAATATCACTATAGGTAGTCTTCCACTTATATCCACAATTGAGCCTGGAATCTCAGTCATTGAACAAAGCGATCAGGAAGCAAGATGCCACATGACTGCTTCATTCAACAACTATAATCTAGGCTCTCACTGTTGCAGTCATTAAACAGAGTGCTGGGGAGAAGGCTTGGGCCTCTCAGTCCTAGTGGAACAAGAAGAGGATATGGGCTTTCCTATATACCTGGGAGTCCAGGCCCTTTCTCCACCCCACCAGGGAGAATGATCATGTGAACAAGGGTATTTGCTAGTGTTTTTGCCAGATTTGAGGTCTGTTCCTCCAGCGCATTTCCTCTTGTTTTAAGTCTGTCACAACTTTAAACAGCTGTCAAACAACTGGTTATAAGTTGAGGACTATCTATATTTATATGTCCTTGGATTTTCCTGCTTTTGTTTAAGGTGCAGTCTTAATAAAAAGGGTAATCATGTCGCTGATCCAGTGCCAATTCCCTATTCCAGGGCTGAGCAGGGATTGCCAGCTACAACCATGCAGTTATGCCTTTCACAATGTTTATTTGTACTAAATTACAGGTCATTACACTAGTTCACACAATATGGTTACATGAAAATATATTATGCATGAGTTGGTTCACAGCTGCCCTGCCCTGGGGAAAAAGCTGTTGGATTTGCTTGTAAATAAACTACAGTTGACAATATTTTTCTTAAAGCCACCATTATAAATATTTAGTCTTCAAGATGTCATATATTTACTGTAAAAAATATGGAAACTCAAAGCATTAATTGCTGAAGAACTACTTACAAATCTTTCCAGTTATCTTTGGATATGCCTAAACAAAACCATCACTTCAGTGTAATGTACTTTTCCAGATACAGTTATAGATAATTTAAGCATTAAGCATAATAATAAATAATGTAAAACTTCTCCAAATACAAGTATAAAGAATTTTACTTTATTTGTACCTAAAGTAGTAACAATAAATGCCTTTTTTATTTTTGTTTGCTTTGTATGAAACAAGGCAAAGATGTTTGGCTTTCCTCTCAGAAAATCTATGCCATGCCTAGATATATCTCTCTTAATATAAAATACTGCAATATTTAAAGCAACCATTGACATTACAACTGATAACAGAATTCATTTTTTATTGTGTTTCTAGACTGTTCAATATTTACAGTCCTCTCAGTAATGTACAGATAAATTAAAACACTATTTTAAAGCTGTAAAACAATATAGAAAGCAATGTAGAATCAGGACTACAATCAAGAAGCTTTAACAATAATGAATACCTCATAAAACAATCATAATAAAAGCGCTAAAATAGAGAAGTTCTTAAAGCATTTACCAGAAATATTGTCCAGTGATAAAACAAAAGATCTTCACCTGGAAATGACCATAGTGTAGGTCCTGGGTATGCCTCTCTAGAGAGAAAATCCACAAAGTGCTACTACAAAAAGGCCATTTCTCATGAAACCACCCACCTTGCCTTAAGTCTTAGCATGGAGTCCTTAAGATCTGGATAGGTAAATAAAGAAGGAGATGCCCTTTCAAGTACCTTAGCCCAAGGTATTTAGAAATGCACATTAAAATCAATCCTAGGAACAAACTTGCACATTTTTGCTTAAAGAGATTGGATTAGCCACTTGTACTTAGCCTGACAGCTATCCTGTTTTGAATGAAATGAAAATTCCGTACTCTTTGGAAAAAATAAATTCATATATAAAACACTGATGAAACAAACCCAATGTTAAAAATGTATGATATTTACGTAGTTACTTACCAAGCACATCTAAATGATATTAAAGTAACCAAAATATCCTTACAATCCCCAAGGTATGTCACAACTTTTGAGCATCCCTAATCTTTGGAAATTGAAAGCTGAAAATTTTGACACGACCTACCATTTGTTAGTCCAAAAAAAAAGCAAGTTAGGTAAAGTTGCAAACCAGAGCATCAATTCAATTACAGTTACCTTTGAGCTGATAATTATTTGCCCAGGTACCTTTGTCAAAAAAAGAAGATGCTAGCAAGTGTCTATAACTATTTTCATATTCTGGATTAAGCCTGTTTCTTAGCCTAACCACACCTTCTTTAAAAGGCTGGCATCATGTTCACATTCCAGAAGGAGTCACAATCAATCCTACATGTTGTGAAAATATAAGCTACATATAAAACAGCATAAGAAGCATATATTTAACATTTATCAGGGCCAGGAAAGACTATATATTAATCACAAGTAACAAAAAAAGTATGTAATACCTTACCTAAAAAGCGATTCTTTTGTTTTCTTTTCATTTAACACCACAATGCTAGGCTTCTTAAAGTAAGAAATTCCAAATTCTGTATCATCAAAATCATCCCAACTATCCATTGTCTTTAACATAGTTTGACCCCAACGGCGTCGATTGTTTTTCATACCCATTGTACCATTTGAGGGTCCTATGGCTATGTGTTTCTGTTTTGATTACAAAAAAATTAGAAATTATTTTTGATATATTTTAGAAGTTTACATTACTATGTTGAACTGGAAAAACTACAATATGTGTTTGGGGGAGAGGTGTCTAAAAGAGCTCTGAATACAGAGCCTGTCTTCTCACAATAAAAAATAAATAAATACAATACTTTTCAAATACTATAAGAGAGAATTATAATAAATGACCCGCTATAATCATACATTCTTGTGAAAGAAAACAAATGCCAGGAGCATTGCTGCTGCCAAATTAACCTAGGATTAATTAAAATTAACCCATTGCATTTGGAAATACAATGTATAGAAAAAAAAGAGCAGAGCTACAAAGAGGATTAACAATAGAAAAAGAAGTATGTAACAGAGATAAAGAGATGTAGTTAGAGGAAAAAAGAACAAGGAAAAAACGAGGCATGCAGAAACTAGACGGAGAAGATTTTTTTAAAAAAAATGAGAAAAACTAAGGAAAAATTTGTAATAGTTCATGGAGGGGAATGGACGGGGAATGCAGAAAAACTGATTTATGAAGACAGAGATAAAGAAATAATAAAAAATAGCAACCCAAAATGTACTTCAACATTAACACGTGATGAAATACTTTTGAATTCACAAGAATATATTGTAAAACTACCTCTCAAAGTGGTTTGAACCGAGAACTTCTGGAGCAATTATAGACTTGTTCATAAGTCGTTTCTGTGTGCAACTTACTGATATTGAGTTTTTACTGATGGCTGGAAGGAATGACTGAGGCTGTTGCTGTACTGATGGTTGCTGACTCACTGCATTCTGAGGCAGCTGGATTGACTGGAGGGGTTGTTGGTTATTCTTGGATAGACACTGTAGCTTATCAGTTACATCTAGCGAAGACTGAGATTCTGGCACAGATACAGCTTCTAATTTTGATATATGTTCAAGTTTGGACAGAGATGGTTTTCGTTCTGTTAACTTGGAATATGGTGGTTTCTGATTCATGCATTGTGGAGGTGGTCCTAAAATCTGGCCCACCAGAAAGTAAGGAAATTTCAATGCCTATGGAAAAAGACAACACTAGTAAGTATAGGGCAGCTAAAGGCATGCAACTAAAGGTCTTGCCAAATAGAGGGTAGAAAAAAATATATGGAAGGTCATATAAAATGAAACCAAGTGGACTTACTGGAACCCAACAGACTTTTAATTTCATGGAAAACAAGACTACTGTAGTTTAGTGACTGAGAACATAAGCTTGGATGTTCAAATCTCCCATTAACCATAAACCACTTAAGTCATGCCTAAGGCACTAGTAATTTCTCAAAAACATTCTTATAATTTTTGTGAACCAACACTTTACCTATGGTCTTCCCTTTCTACTTCCATATACCTTGTTAAATATAATTCTTTTCTAGTTCATCATTCCTGCTTCCTGAAGTTGTTGAAGATCAACAGGGAAAGACATTGTTAGGAATAACAAGGTTACCTAACGTAGTTTGGGTAAAATAATATATATAAACTATGATAGTAAGTTTAAGTGTGTGTCACTTTAAACTGCAAAGCATGTAATTTTGGGTGCGGTTGTAAAACCACCATAAGAGGGAGCAAGAGAACCTGCTGGATTGCTGACTATGCTGGATTGCTGACTATGCTGGATTGATGGTTTGCTAACTGCGTGTTCCCTGCTGCTGAGTTTTTGAACGTCGAAGGAAGAAAGGAGGTTTGACTTCTTTATATCTCTACTGCGAGGAGATATATTACTGGACTGATATTTGTAAGTTTACTAACCTCTTTTTCGACACTGGACTTTGCAACTGAATAATCCCCGAACGGACTGAACTAGTGAATGATATATGGACTGTTTGACTATGCTAAAACTCTTACTGGAATAAACTATTTAACTAGCACAGTGTATCTGTTTTACTGAGTGTAAGCTACAAAAACGTTTATCTCACATATTTGCCTGCCTGCCTGACTGCCGTGCACATTCTGCTAGGGTGTATCCCTAACAGACATAAACATAACTTTTAAGAAGTATCAATTCATAGTCATTTCAAGCACCAGGAATGACAGATTCCTTGTTGATAACTTCCTGATTTCTCTAAAGCAGGGTAGAAAACATGTAGCCTTCCAGACTTTATTGAACTCCAACCACAATCATAAAGAAACCCTTGTTTCTCAACAGAGTACATCTTCCATGTTATATTTAATAAAACTTCAAATACATTGCAATACATTTTATAGTTAATTTTATGAAATTATAGGTTTTCCTTCCTTTTAAGATACTTGGTTAAAGAAAATTGCAAAAGTATTCTATACATTGTGCAAGTGTTAAAACCATTTCTGATTTTGATGAAGTGCTTGTAAATGACTCGTGAGTTTGTGAGGTGGTGGTTTTTTTGTTTTTTTGTTTGCAACAGTTTGTACTCATTGTGTAAGCAAAATTGCCATGTTGTTAATACCACAGGTCTGCATACCTGACTTGCTGTTGGTCGTTTCTTTGGATCCCAATTCAACATTTCATTCATGAGAAACAATGCCTCACTGCTGGCATTTGGAATGAGAGTCTTTAGATTTATTGAAACACACTGAGGGAATCGAAAATTCATTGCAGCAGCAAGCTGGTAACCTTCTGGCCAATCGCTCTGTAAAGTAGAATAACAAGAGCAGTCTTTAAAACTAAAAGAAGTAATTTTTATTATTTATTGTTGAATGCCTGCAACTATTATTTTTGGTTAATTTGTTTAACCAAAACCCAAACTTGTTCACAGATAGTCTTCAAATACCGATTGCAATTGTGACTGGCAACTCCATCGCTTAAGTGACATGATCACAAAATGTAATGATATATGAGAATGACCTTGAAGGACAAGTAGGAAGATATGTTGCCTAGAAACTACCAGACAAAACATGAGGAAGCCCCCAGTGACTTAACAGTTAGAGGAAGTAACTTAGGAAGGATCCACCCTAATTGATCTGCTGGTTAAAAGTGATGGCAGAAGATCTGTACCTTCAGACTTAAAAAATTATGTTAATGTAGCCTAACAATAAAGTAGAATTAATTCATCTAGTTGTGTTTCCTCTCTGGTTTGCTTGAAAGGGCTGACATCAATCTTGCAAGTCTCAAGGTACACATTTCCCATGACTTATGTCATTAACACTGATCAGTCTCTGAACACACAATAAATGAGGATTACCTGTGTTATGTACTGGAAAGTTAATTATAAAAAGAGTGATAATGTTAATCCCCACAATGAGAATGGGTGGACAAGTAACAGAGCTAGCAGAGATGACAAAATTGATTGTTTTTAATTAGAGAAAAGAACGTATCCAACTGTGTTTCTCCCTGGAAATTGCTTCTGAACCTGACTTGGAGTGGCTGCTCCCGAGTGTGAGGGTGCTCAAAGGTGCACTCCCAGGGAATTGGGGTGATTGCTGTAAGGGTATGCTAGTGGCGGGGGAGCATGAGCAAAATGGGGTTTGGAGTGGGTATGCATGGAGGTGGAAGACTTAAACTGAGCAACTTAAACAACTTTCCCTACTGGTTTTCCCCATTGACTTTACTTGTGTGAAGCCAGAAGAGAACACTGCAATTTGCAAACACAAGACAATGGAGTACTGCAACTATTAGAAGTAAAAGCCTGGCCAGCAAGTGCTCAGATCAAGATCACATGACCAGGGCCGCTGGGATAGCCAGAACTTTGATAATCGATCTTAGCCACCGCTCATTAAACACCATCATTATTTCAAGCAGCTGGTGAATAAATGGTCATTAACCAAGAGCTACCTGTTATTTTAATTTTATTCCCACCAATTGTAATAATACACATTTTCAAAATGCTTTACCTTCTTTGGAGTTCCTAACACCTGACAAATTTTGAAAATTTCATCAACTTCACTTGTTCCTGGAAAAAGTGGTCTGAGTGTATATAGTTCAGCCATTATGCTACCAACAGCCCAAATGTCAATAGGGGAACTATAAATAGAAGATCTCAATAAAACTTCGGGTGCGCGATACCTGAAAAGGGTGAAGAGAAATAATTGATAACTGATCAAGAGGCTTATAATGTGAGTGAAATTCCCATTAAAACTCACACTTACCATCTGGTAGAAACATAATCTGTGTATGGAGGCTGAGATCTTAGTTCTCTAGCCAATCCAAAATCAGCAATTTTAACAAGTTCTGGACCCATACAAAGAAGGTTTTCAGGTTTCATATCTCGATGAAAAAATCCTGTAAACATGAATGTAGAATCAATAGATATCGATGGAGTGGATTTCAAATTCTACTAATAATAGGAATTTTTATTTTGTACTACATGGATTGCCATAAAAACCTGCTTTTAAATTTTGTTTTCAAACTGCACTAAATACAAACTTCAAAAATTTATCAATCAGCTCCCAATATAACTGGGAGCTAAGCTATTTCAGAGATCTGTTACTAATTGGGTCAAACTACATTTGATCTGGTTATCAAAACTTTAAAAGAAATGTTTTTGAGATATAGAATGAAATTAAGAATAGTATATGTTTAGTGAACAAAACAAACAACTAGGTCAGATTTTTTCATGATTAAAATAAATTTAGCCTAAGCATCATTCAGCCTACATTTAATGTAAACTTCTTCATACCCCTTTAAATACATCCAAAATTGTTTCTTTTAAAAGCATAATATTCACAGTAACAATAATCTTTGAAATTTGTTCTCCCCTTTACAGAGTCAATTAAAGTCTTGCAATAATATCACAACTGGTATTAGAAATCAGGAATCTGACTCTCTGAAATAGATTACAGCAAGACCAATGTAGAAGTAGGCCTAGATCGGATGACAAAAGGATTGTAAAGTATTACAATAAAAAGAATAAAACTGAGAGGAAAAAAATGTCAGGAAGCTAACATTTTAGGATGTAACAAATCAAAACTTTGTGTTTCTCATAATAAATTTATACTACTCCAAATCCATACACTCTGCCACTAAAGGAGTGTCTTCTATAGATTTCTACAATACTGCACCTCGCTCTACAATTTCTGCTGGTGCAGAACACTGTAAAATGTACTGCCTGCATTCTAACAACAACAAATGGATAGGGAAATTTGTACCCTCTAATAAAAATTAGGCAGCCAAACATTATGATATATACAAAGGCACAGAGTGACTTTATTCAACTTGGATACTACACAGTACACACTATGAAATATGACAGCCCATTAAATGTCAATAATCAGAAATGTGAACAAAATGAATTAGGATTAGTGTGGTTTTGGAATAAGTGCTGGTCATCAAAAACCTGATTAACACTTATAAAAAAAGTGTCCCCTACAAGAAATCAAACAATTAAACCTAGCCCATACTTCCAACTTCCACCTGAAGTGACTTTTTGTGCCCAAATAAAGCACTGTTCTGGATGGAATCCTATGCCATGAAACTGTAACATCGACAACCACCAATCAATTAATATAGTTACTGGGATTCAGTTTCCAGAACATTTGATTCTCAAAATAATCTGATTTTTCTCTGAAGTAATTTATTTAGCAAATTACTTTAAACTTTTTATCACTGGAATATTAGTACCATATATCTATCACGTCTATTATGTCTCCTGTTTGATAAAGTGTACATTAGCCTATTCACTCTAATACTACACAGTAGAAGCAATATACTATACTCACCATGTTTATGGATAAAAGCTAACCCTTGTAATATTTGATACATAATGTTCCTGATGACAGACTCCGGAAACAGTTTATTTCTGTAATGCAACAAATGAACAAGATGAAAAAAAAACATGATTTTTTTCTGATACAAATAAATATGCTTTACTATTTCATTTATTCATTTATCCAATGACTTAACCACTTTTTTTAAAATAAAAATAATTGTAACAGGTAAGTGACCTTAAAGCATATTTTCAATTAAAAAAAACAGGTCTCCTATTAATAAAAAATGCTAGGAACCAGGAAAAGTTGGAAAAAGTTGGAAAAAGGAGAGAAGTGCATTATTCCCTCTTTCAAAATCCTTCATAACACTTCAGCACATTGGCAAAATGTTTCCATGTTTGGATCATATTGTTCTTATTGCTTATGATAAAGTAGCAATCGAGTGTGTGGCTTATTTGGGGAGAAATAATAAAGAGGCTTAAGGGTAAAAAACTGACCTTTTTTAAAGAAAAAAAAATACCATTCAAAATGCAATATTTTGCTATCAAATACCAATAATATAATCTGAGAATAGCGTTGGTTCGGGGGAGGTTTCTCACTTTTGGCTCCTCCCCTGAACCAATGCTATTCTCAGATTATATTATTGGTATTTGATATGTATAATATGAATTAATTATGGTTTAGCAAATATTATATCTAACATAGTCAGTTTGATGTAGTAGTTAAGGTGCTGGTCTAGAAACCAGGTAAGCAGTCCTGCCCTAAGAATGAAATGCAGGTCAGATAACTTTGGGCCAATCACTATTTCTCAGGACAACTCACTCATAGGGCTGTTGTTGTGAGGCAAATAGGAAAGGAAGGAATATTATTTATGTTCACTACCTTATTAATAAAAAAAATACAAGTGTGATTTTTAAAAAAATAAATAAACATCAAAAATTATACTTTATTAAACTATCGTATGTTTTGTGATGCACAGAGAATTATTAAACAATGTGAAAATAGCAAATTGGTTCTAAACATACCTGTCTCTCATTAGCTGATACAGATTTTCCTTCATATATTCAAACACAAAATACAGATGGTCATTTTCTCGAATAACTTCTTTCAGCTTTATTACATTGGCATGATTAAGTTTTTTCAGAGACTATAATACAAGACAACAAATAGTTTTCAAACTTGAATAGAAGTATTTACTCATTATAAAAGGCATACAGATTTTATTTCCATTATGACTTAGGATGCAAACTAAAACTAATGTTTAAAATTTACAAAGTATATAAAGCCATAAAAACTATGTTAGTTAAACTTCTCTGAGTCCCTTTCTTCCTTGTTTATCTAATCTATACAAAAACCTACACTAGACAAGGCTGAAAAGGGGAGAGGAACTTCCATTTTAGCATGGAAAAATCCAATTTTATATACTCTTTTCCATTTGTATGAAGGAAACCAAAGAGAACAAACCCACAAATTATTAGCCTTTATTCGGCAAATAACTTTCTTCAAGGGTACTTTTAAGAAGTCTTCAACCTATAAATGAGTTTTATCAATAACAATTAGCCAAGATTCTAACAATTTGTTTTTTTCTTTCTAGATATTAGAAAAGAATAGTAGTTAGAATAGCAAAACTGGAGTATTTGCACTGAACATAATTTATTAGGTTCTAAATATATTATTAAAATTATCATACTACCCTAATTACCTTAACTTCCCTCAGATTCATACATTCATCCCAAGAATAGAATTTCCTTTTCATTCTGAAATAAAAGTTAAAATAAAATTTTAAAATAAGAGAGTAATACCCCCCAAAATTTTGTAAAACTTGTTAAAATAAACTGAGTTTTAAAATATTAGACTCTTACTTTAAGGGAAATCCAGCAGGAGAAACACCCTACTGTTTTTGAGAGGTCACTCTTTGTGGCCCATTTTTGGCTGGGAGAATGCTGCTGGAGGCCAAAAAGAGGCTGCACAGGGGCCTCGTGGGGACTCCACACGCCCCATTTTTGGCTGCCGGAGTGCTGGAGGCCATCCAGGCCAAAAACAAGGTGTGGGGGACCGCACGCGGCCCCCAGCATCCCTTTTTAGCCAGCAGGGTGGTACAGGAGGCATCCGTCCCATCTCCCCCCCCCGCTCCCCACCCCCTGCCGACCCGCGGAGAACTAAAATGCTGATCCATCCCACAAAAAAATCCAGTTTGATACCCCTGCTTTAAGATAAAAGGTTTGACGGTAAAGTGTCCTTCAAATTAAGTTCACCTCTTGCTGACTTTATGAAGAAATGCTGCCATAAAGTAACAAGACCTAGTCTACCTAAGTAGCATATGTAAGAGAGTATAATACAACAAAGAAAGTCACAGCCAGCAAAGTGGGAATAAGATAAAACAGCACAACCCTATAATTTGATCTCATGGAGATTTCAGAAGCTGATATGTATAGGACAGTGCCGTTAGGTATTAAATGAATATGAGGCTATCATGACACAAACCTTTTAATGGCCACCAGCTCCCCGGATTCATTGCTCTTCCCCATCAGAACACTGCCATAGGTTCCGTCCCCAAGTTGCTTCAGAGTTGTATAACGGTTCATTTTGTAAAAAGTAAGGTAGCCAAATGCTCAAAAATCTTAAGTGTTTCTTTTTCAGAATGGTGCTGTTATATGAGTAAGTAACCTGTCATAGTAGTCATCATAAGTCATCAGTCTTCTTTCAATATTATAACCACTCTATCCAGAAATAATATAGTAGCAAATGGAGAAAAGCTGCCATCCTTACATGGATCCTTGATAACAAAACATATTATATAGGAAACGTTAGGGATCGCACTGGTATAACATAAAATACTAAATTAACATTCTTAATATAAAATTATGCATTCAATGAAGATTGGACCTAAAACAAATGTGAAGTCAGGTAGTCCTCGACTTATAACAGTTCACTTAGTGATCGTTCAAAGTTACAACAGTCTCACAGTGTTGTTGTTTTGGGGAAAATAGAAGGAGGAAAGTATAAGCCTACTGCTTTGAGTTATTTGTAATAATAATAAAGATGGGATATAAATATTTAAGTAAATAAATAAAAAAGCAAGCAAGCAAGCAGACTGTACTTTGTATATGGAATATACCCAACGTAATTATTATAGAAATTAGAAATTATACATCCATATGCGACTGGGAGAGGAGGCAAGGCAACATATGCTTTTAATCTTTATTTGATTTGTTTTAAAGAGGAAGAAATGTAATAAAGAGGTTTAGTCATATTTTTTGATGTATTTTATTCATAATCATATTTTTATGTAAAGCCTTGTTTAGCACATCACACCTTATGTGTATTATTATCTTGCAAATTCAGATTTCTAGGCCAGTTGTATTTAATAATATGGGAACTAAGGCTTCTATCCATCAATGGGCTGAATTATGAAAATGCGTATTTCTGGAATATTACATGTTTTATATATTATAATTATTATAATAAAATAAAATGAAATACTAATAAAATGATAAAATGAAACACTGACATTGCCATTAACCTACACTTGAAATCCACAAAGGAAACTCATCTGTAGTAAGAATGAACTGGGTATATAAGGTGCGAGAAAAAGTGAAACAAATATTGAATATATACAGGGGTTTTTTTAAGGTTAGAACTAGAAATTTAAGTTAAATTTCTGTTTAAAAAAAATTTAATGCATTTCACTGCACGTAAATGCTATTGTACTGTGTTTCCCCGAAAATACTGTATGACATACCCTGAAAATAAGTCCTGGCCTGATTTTTTGGGGGTGGGCCTAATAAGCCCTATCGCAAAAATAAGCCCTAGTGAAGGGGTTAGGCGTGGCCAGCCCAGGAGGCAGCTCAACTGCGTGGCCCCTCACAAACATGGGCAGTGATCCCAGAGGATGGAGGCTCCTTCCCTTTTCCAGTCACTTCACAGAGGCTTGGCCCCTTAATCGAGGCCCCCACAAATCAGCTGAGCCCGAAAGGGCTGGGAGCTCCCTCTCATTCTGCCTCTCCAGGTGCCTAGAGGTATTTCAGCACACTCTTGCCCTGCCTAGGCAACCTTGCAGCTGAGGGCCCTTCTCTTCTGCAGCTCACCTGGTGGCTCTGGAGCAGCTCAGGTCTTGCGTAGGCTGCTGCTACGAGGCAGAAAGCTGTGTGGCGCATTGGGATTGCCTGCTCCCCCCACCTCTGCCCGGCTGCACCTGTGCTGCTGGCCTTGTGAAGGCTCTTCACCCTCCTGGCCGTGCTCTCGGCCGCCCTGCGGCTTCAGCAGGCAAGAGCTCCATGGTTGCCCTACATCCGTCTCTTCCTGCCTGGTACAGGGGCAATTTTGGGGGTGCAAAGGAGGAAAGGTCAATCTCCCCTCCCTCCTTCATTGCCTGTCCTGCTGCCGGGCTGCCACAGAGCTTCTACCTACTGAAAGCAGTAGCTCACCCAACCCACTTCCCGCCAGCATGTAGATATGTAGTTAGATCAAACAGGTTTGCAGATACCTTTCTGAAAGAGTTTTCCTCTCCTGAATGAGGTGACCAGCAAGATCCAATGAATGCTCACAATTCTGCCTCCCTGCTCTACCCTACTCGCAGAAACCAGATTTCCCCTCCCACTCTGCTCATCAGCTACACCAGCCCTGAACACACGCATATGCTTTGGCATAAATCATCCCCAAGGAAAGGAGGATTGGCAAGAAGTTCCCCCCTCCCCCCATTTTCCTGCTGCAGCTAGGAGGGGAAGAGCCCTGCGAGGCCAGCAGCAGCAGGTGCAGCAGACCCAGCAGCCGAGCAGAGGTGGGGGGGGAAGCAGTCCCGATGCACCGCACAGCCTTCTGCCTAATCATAGCAGCAGTCTGAGGAAGACCTGAGCTCCAGTGTCCCAGCAGCAGCAGGGCCAGCAGGCGGGGAGGGGAGCAGAGGCTCGGGCGCACCAAGAGTTTGCTCTGGTTTGTTGCGGCCGCAGGCAAGTAGATGTTGGGACAGAAGGTGGGACCGGCAGTAGCAACACTCCTACTCCCGTCGGTCCCCACGCTTGCCTCCTCTAGGCGAAAGAATAAGACATCCCTGAAAATAAGACCTAGTTCTTATTTTTGAGCCCAAAAGAAAATAAGACCAGATCTTATTTTCAGGAAAAACATGGTATCTGTTTAATGACATAACAGAAGAAGTATAGAAGAGTGTATACAGCCTGAAAAAGGGAACAAGGAGCAAAACATAACTATTCATTTATTATTTAATTCCATGCTTGATTCTCCATACTTTAATACTTTTAAATACTCTGCAAGTATTTCTTATTATTATTCTATCAGGTAACCACTTTGGGACCACAGAATATTCTATACAACGTCATCTGATTCATATGCAAAACTGGCATATTCCCAAGGCAACAACTTGGAGAAAGAGGAAAAGATCCTACTGTAAACAACAGATTGTTCCTTATTGTTGAGAACATGCTACTAATAATCTACTCAAATAGCATTTAGAAAGGATTACAGGAGAGGACACACAGAGGACATATTAACACAACTCAGAAGCTCCTAGCAGTATGAGAAAAATTTAGGAACAAAAAATCATGAATTTGAACAATGAGTTTTAATGAGAATATTCCATTGATAATAATTGTAAGACTATTATCTCAAGATGCAATATTGTACTTATAAAGGAACTTAACAATTTAAAAAAAAATATTTTAAAAAGATGACAAATTTAATGATACAAACTACAGGTAATCCTCAACTTACAACAGTTCGTTTAGTGACCGTTCAAATTTACAACGGCACTGAAAAATGTGACTTATGACCGTTTTTCATAGTTACGATCTTTGTAGCATCCTCATGATCATGTGATCAAAATTCTGATGCTTGGTAACTGGTTCATACTTATGACTGTTGCTGTGTCCCAGGATCATGTGATCACCTTTTGTGACCTTCTGACAAGCAAAGTCAATGGGGAAGCCAGATTCACTTAAGGTTACTATATTATCGAGTGCAGTGATTCACTTAACAACTGAGGCAAGAAAGGTCATAAACTGGGGCAAAACTCCTTTAATAAATGTTTCACTTAACAACAAAAAAATTGAGCTCAATTGTGGTCGTAAGTTGAGGACTATCTCTATTAAAAATCATTTTAAGCTGACAAGACTGTGTACAAAATAATGCCATACCAAATTGAATCCAGATCTGTGCAATGTTTTATATCTGAAGGCCAATTCTGCAAATGTTAACATTTTGACCAGGGGGCGCTCAAACAACAATGTATCTTGCCTTCCCACTTGCCTCACAACAGGTCAGATCAACCAATCAGACTGCAGAAAGTGCATCTCCACACAACCCATAATTGAGAGTTGGGAATTGTGCGTACAGACCTATCTGCAACCTACACTTACAATCAACTCTTTAACAGTAAGTATGTGTTGACACCTAAACACAGTTGCAGACAAGTCGAGCTTCAATAGACAAGTCTATGCAGTTTTCCTGACAACGTTCTCAGAAATGGTTTGCCATTGTCCATTTTCTGAGGTTGACAGTGAGTGATTGGTCCCAAATAATTCCATGCCTATGGAAGGACAGAACTCAGGCTCCTGGTGCAATATCTTAACCTCTAAATAAAACTATTAAACAGAAGCAGCAAGGAGTGATAAAAGTCATTTATTTCTACCTTGTCCTAATGAAAACTTTACGTGCAACATTCCATAGCAACTTTGAACTGGGAGAAGTTCAAAGAAAATATTTACACAACATATTATTGTCAAAAACAGGGAAAGATAAATTATATCCCAAAACTGGATTGTATCACTATGTGAAGAACTATGCATTTGCTGAGCACAGGTTCCACTAAAACAGATTATTCCTAGATTCTGGCTTTCTGTTGGTATAATGCAAAGGCTGATTAATATCATTCTGTATCAATACTTAATGCAGGCATGATATTCCCCTCTGAAAAAAAAATCGGGGCCGGCCAAAAGAGACCCCCCCCACCGCGCGCCAAGAAATCGCTGCCCAGCTCCCTTTTCCTGCCGCTCAGCGGCCTCCGCTCGCGCCGCCCGCCCGCCCGGGCTCCGCTCAGGTATCCGGCTGGGGCTGTCAGGAGTTGCTACCGCCGGCGCGGCTCCGCGCGGCTCCAGTCCCGCGTTGCCTCGGGAAGGGAAAGGCAAAACCAGGAGCCGCTGCTGCCGTTGCAAAGCGCCGCCGCGGCTCTTCCTTTTTGCCTTTCCCTTCCTGAGGCAACGCGGAACTGGAGCCACGCAGAGCCGCGCCAGCGGTAGCAACTCCTGACTCGGGGCCTCCGAGGGGAGGGGAAGGAGGAGAAGAAGGGGGGGAAGGGGGGGGCGATTCCCAAAAAAATCGGAATTCCGATTTTAATCGGAAGAATATCATGTCTGTTAATGGCATGGTTTTTTTAAAAAAAATTGACTGAATTACTGTTTCTATGCATAAAATACATTTCGTTATTTCTGTTTGACTTTGGGTGTGGCTTTTTAATATTAAAATAATAATAAAAACAGCATGTTAACAAATCCAGTTACCATATTCTATCATGCTTATAAGATGCTTTAAGATGTATAAAGCATTTGCCGTAAATCTCATCTGGACTCCTAGTGCTTAATCCTATAAATAACTGGATGAATCAGTGGACTGTGCTATTAACTCTTAATTATGCTAGATTAATACTTGATAGGCCTCACTCACATAAACTTTATTTTTACAAGATATACCCTATGGATGCTCAATTTTACTTTTTATTATACTTTTCATTTTTATGTTTTCTCATTGAAAGAGTAAAACAAAATAACTACATTAAACAGAAGTTTTAATTCTCACAAACAGAAATCAAAGACAGTCTTCATACATATTATGCAAGTAAAAGCCCAGCTATTCTCATATTGCAAAAACATTTGCCTGATTTCAAGAGTGTTCATAATAGCTACATGATGTTCATTATTATTATATTTTGTTTTAAATCTAGAAATAATTTTAAATCTTTGTTCAAATGCTAGGACTGATGGACGCTGGCTACAAATGTATATTCATAAAATATACTTTTTCAATATAAGACCAAAAAATTCTGTTCCTTCATATATAGGTATACAATAAAATGCTATGAAAAGGCAGAGCTAGATGCTACTCCTTCAAAATGCGGCTATTAATGATTATAAATTGAAAGTGTTTTGATTATGAAAAAAATAAATGTATCTGAAATGAGCAGTTTCCTTCAGTCTTCTTCCTTGTTTACTTTTACAGGATAAATAGTTGTTGTTGCTAAACACTGACACAGTGTTACCAAGGTAGTAAAACAGATATTGCACATTCACGCAGTCCTGTGAAAACTAAAGTCTTCTTTAGACTTAGACCAGATGACATGAATTAAACTTTCTTTTCTTGGTGTCTGTACATCTGTCATTATTTCTATATTTTCCTGAAAGATTAAGAAGTTTTTTAAAAGCTTTTCACCATTTATTCCACAATATTTTCTTCACTTACTTAAAACTATTTTACTAATTTCAATGGAAGGTACACTTCAGTCCTCTGAAGAATTGAGTATACCTATCAAATACTATATAGAGTTATGCCTACTAATGCAAAATGAAGTCAAAATACCAGACTTAATCCTTTTCAGTAATAAAAATACACAAAGCTTACAGAACCTTTGAACAAAGTTCATTAATTGAATCACCAGATTACTTAATTAAATTTCTCACAAAATTGGAATATTTAAGTTCGCAGTAATAAATCTGAACTATTCAGTCTCTGAAAAAGTAGATGTTTAAATACTGTATATTAATATTGTTACATATAAAATATTATTGCCATATAACTGTGCTTCATTCTGATCAAATTATATAAATGTACAAAGGAAAAAAATATCTCTCCTACTGCTTCATGTATGCACACTGATGCCAAGATCAAAATTATCCAACTCCAAACTTCATGGTGCAATTACAAATAATTATTTTGCAATAATGTTAAGTAGTTCAAACGTGCTAATTAGACCCACAGAGTTCATCTATGAAACTGTTTTCATTGTAAAAAGCAAAGGCAAAATCTATTTCACACACAATCATTCACACATATTTTATACTTACAAAATAAAATCCACTGAGTGCAGATGACTCTAAAGGACTAGAGACATCTCTTACAAAAGAACAATCATATTGTCAGCAGAAGTGTATCATTAGCTTATCAACTAAACCCCAGGGCACCCATATTCCAACTGTTATTCCAGGACAGTCCTTGGGCAACTTTGTCATCATTATCACAGATATTTTCCTAGTTCAAGAGGAAATAAAATTGAGGAAATAAAATGTGTAAAAAAAATGCTACCTTGCACTTTGTGAAATATAATCAGTAATGGATAAAGTAATGAGAAATAAAATTGGAACGTTATTGCATATATTTCACTGTTGCCCACTGACATTTAAGTTTGAGAAGGGTTCACTTTTGCCACTCAACCCAAACAATTCCCTATCCCTCGGATGCCTAAGGCTCCATAGGCTTATTCTCAACTTAATAATGGGCCGAGGGGCAAAACTGAAAATAAAACGCTTCAATCTTTCTTTTGATCAGAGGTGCACATCATCAATAGTACTTACACCTAAGGGGGGGCGGGAGGGGAAGGTCCGGGAATAAATCGACCTGAAGAGGATTAAATAAGTTTGTTCTTGTAGTACAGCGAAAGTTAAGGCTCTACGGATGCTTTGGGACTACCGTGCCCATCAGCCGCAGCCCCTGCAGCCAACTGTGGAAACCGAAGTCCAAAATATTTGATGGGACGCGCGAGTCCGGTCCCGATCGCGAACTCGAGCCCCGCGGGAAAACCCATCCCTGCTTCGACGAGCCGTGGCCGCTCAGCCTCGCTTCCTCCCCCCATCATCCACCCACCCCCAGCCTTCTCTTCGCCCACTATTACTCCGTCCTCCCTGGCCACGCACTCACTGCTGAACTCTTGGCCGCCCAGGGAGGGTCCAGGGCCTCCTCCTCCTCCTCCTCCTCCGGAGCCTCCTTTCCTTAGCTGCCTCATCCCACCCTCCGAACCGTCGGCAGCTCCCACGGCACCAGCGAGGCCGGGCTCGGCACCGACTCGTCACCTTGGCAACAGCGCCTTCTTAGCGAATCCCCAAGCGAACTTGCCGTCGCGAGGGAGCCCACGAACGGAGTGGGCGGGACTTAAAGAAGAGGAGGAGGAGGCAAAGCCAGGCATGGATCGGAGGGGAAGAAACGTAAAGGGAATTAAGAGGGTGCGGGGGGACGGGGGGGGAGGGCGCTCGCGCTCGTTTCGAGTTTCTGATTGGCTGATTCGGAGACGATTCCTGACCCGGCTCGCCCGCCGGAGGGCGCCTGCGCAGCACGTGATTTATTCCTCTCTCCAAGCTGGGAGGGAAATTGAAAAAACACCCGGAATTGTTGGGTGGTGATTTATCACGAACTCGTTATTTGCTCAAATGTAGTAGTAGAATTAACTTTACGTACAACTTTCTAGATCAGGGGTCTCCAACCTTGGCACTCCTCCCTCTGGGGGTTGAAGTCCTCCATGCTTAAAGTTGCCAAGGTTGGAGACCTGTTCTAGATCATTGTTTCTCAACTTCCCCAGCATTGCTGGTTTAGGAAATTCTAAGAGCTGAAGTCCAGGCAACTCAAAAGTTAAGGTAATAAAGAATTTTTTCAAAAAGGATTACAAAGGTGGGGGGGGGAAGGTGGAAATAAATGTAAGAGGATTTGACTTTTGACAGGAGCTAAATTGAAGGAGGAAGCTGGAAAAAAATTGGATAAACATGATTTTGGCACTAAATAGGCATAATTAAATGCCAAAAAGAAAAAATTAATAATTTGGACTTACTGAATTATTGAAACTTAAAAGCCTCAAACAAAAGAGAAAAAAGTGGAAAGAAAGGGTGGAACTTGGATGTAACAGAGAGCGCCACCTAATGGTAAAGGAAAAAAATTTAGTGTTTAAAAAGTGCCTTTTTTTCAAAATTGGAGCTTGATACAAAATAAGAGGAACTTTGTTACAATAAAATAAAATAGAAACCCTGAAAAGTAGAAAGTGAAAACACAGAATATTAAGATAAAAGAAATATGCGTGAAGAAATTACCTTGGGACTGTTTGGTGATTTTGGCACAAATTTAAACGTATGGATATTGGATTATTTGATTACTTTGGAAAAAACTTAAAAGAGGAAGTAATAAAAGCTGATCGTTGGAAATAAACATCAAAGACGCTGGTCGAATTAAATTACTGGACAATTGGTTTGGACTTAAATACCAAAGAAAGGGATAAAAGAAAATATAAAAGAAGTGTATAAAAATGGCAGAACTTTTTTGGAACTAAAAATGGAATTGAGAAACATAAAGGAAATGTTATATGAAGGAAATGAATTGTGCTGTACTGCTTTATAATTAATAGAAATGGCGATTTTGGAGAACAAAGAACAAGGAGTGCCAGAAGGGGAGGAGCTGCTCAAAGAAGAAGCCAGCTTCAATGAACAAATGGAACAATGGACATTAAAACGAAGGGAAAAAAGAATGGAAATTAAAACTTGGAGGTTTGAGGGGACAATTAAAAAGGGAAATGTTTTGAAAACCAAACAAAGTAAAAGGAAACAGCAGAAAAGGGAATTACAGAAGAAAATTTTAAAGAGGGAGAGGGATTAAAAATTGGAATAAGAAATGGAGGGAAAAAATGAAGGAAAAAAGAGGTAATAAGAGGAAAAAAAAAACAGAAAATAAAGAGATATGGAAACCGAACAAAAACGATAAGAAATTGTTTAGTTAGGAGACATAGAGATAATGGGTACATAAAGATTAAAGAAAAGGGATTCTGCAAGGTAATGTGTTGTAATATATAAGAATGTAACTGAATGTAAGCTAATGGAACTGATTTTTTTAATTGGCTTTTTTTTTTAAGGATTATTGTTAATTTATATATGGGCATAACTGAAATAAATGCAAAAACTGGAAGCTATGATAAGAAGATGAATTATATTTAATAAAATAAAGAATACACCTAAAATGAGTTATGAAGATTTTAATGAAAAGACTAATATCAGTTTTTATAATTAACTGAATAGATCAATATATTTGAAATAATAAATGAGTTAGAAAGTAATTGAGGGAAATAATACCAGGTGAAATCTTGCTTAAAATATATATATGCATATGTGATATATAGTAGTTAGGAGATTATTGTTATTAAACTAGAATGTGATAATTATACATTATTATATATAATATAGATATATTAGGATAAACTTTTATTATGGATTAAAATGGAATAAATTGAGGGATGTATAAGATAAAAGGGTGGCACTCTAATTGGTAATTAAAAGGGGAAATTTTTGGAATTATTAGATTTAAGATGAAATGTACTGAATAATGAAACAAAAGTATGTGAAAAAATTGCAAATGTGACAGATAAAAGTACGTATAAAGGAATAATGAATTTAGAATTAAAAAAATAAGGTCAGACTATAAAACAATATATGAGAATATTTGAGAAGGAATTAAGTTAAGATATAAATTGAAAATGGATTTAATAAGTGTAAAGAAAATAAGAATATTGGAGAAAATTTATAATGTGAAAGATAAATGTATACTAAGGTCATGTTTATATTGAAGTGTAAAAACCTGGAACCACGTTGTTCATGGAAAGAGATGTTTTTAAAATGTAAAAATAAAAAAATTATTACAAAAAAAAGTTGCCAAGGTTAAGCCATGCTGTTCCTAGATCCTAAACCACGTTAAACACAGTAATTGGGTTGTTCCAACACACTGACCTAGAAACTATCTATGGTACTAGGTGCTCATTGCTGGTGGTTTTTAAGAAGAGATTGGACAACCATTTGTCTGAAATGGTATAGGGCAGGCGCTCCTGCTTCAGCAGGGGTTGGACTAGAAGACCTCCAAGGTCCCTTCCAACTTTGTTATTCTGTTACTGTGATCACTTTTAATTTGGCATGTTGTGCAAAACTGCAAAAAAAAAGTTGATTAAATATGTGCTTTTTCCTCTGACATAGCAGATATACTTGCCGTATAATAGAGGAAAATTTGCATTTGACAGATTGGGATCCTATATCTAAGAGAATACAGAATATTCTTTTATATATGGAAGAACACAGAAGCTGGATTAGAATAGTATCCTAGCCAAACCAAAAGGGCATGAATAATTTATTGTTCTTTATATTGTGGGTACTTAGTCATTCTTTTAGTTCCTTGTATCAACTAGCTCACCAAATAAACCTTATTACACTATGGCTTATTAGTTTAGGCATAGCATCCTGTGCAGATACAGGAGTATCTACACAGAATATTCTAAACTTTTCTTGATTGGGCTATTGTAAAATGTCTGCAGAGTTGCTTATCTTCCTTATCGCAGAGTTCAACTTATGTTGACAGATAAATTGATTCCACCGCAAGTCAACTGTGTAAAAAAAACCCACAGAAAACAAACTCCATTCTCAAAGTCTAAACTGTTGAAAACATCATATCTTTTCAGGTTAAAGAAAGTTCAAAAGAAACTTTATAACTAATGCCATAAGTTAAATTAAGTGTGGAACATTCCTGCTCTTGTTTACAGAACATGCTTCTAGATTTAAGTCCTAGCTTAATGAAGAAGGAAAAAAACAGACTAAGTTGCATTCAAATAATAAAGAAGAAATACATTGCCAGTTATAACAGATCAGGTAAGCTACTTGTAAGTGCAACATGTTTTCAAAATAGATATATGCAAAACTTTATTCAGGGAATTTCAGAAGGTTCAATTCCCCATCCAGTCACCTGAACTTCATATGGACTGGGCCTTTTGTGGCAATTCTGTAAATTGGAAATTCCATATTCGGAATTGAAAGTAGTTCAAAGTGTTCCAAGCTCCAAACAGAACTGTTTCATTTGGCATGCCATGTCTAAGATATCTTGAATTACTTCCAGTTGAAAGGATTTGTTTTTTTGGAAAAGATTTACTTTTTGAAAACAGGATTTCCCCTTCAATGGCATGGTCCAGAGTGGGAAATACAACGGTCTAGAGACCTCCATGTTTGTTTTGGTTTGTTTGTTCAATTTCTGTGGCTGCTCATCTCAGTCAATAACTCTGGGCAGCTTACAATTCAGAAAATATATTATGATTTAAAAATATTTTTAAACGGTAAAACCAGTTAAAAAAACAACCATCCAATTCAAGCTACACAAGAGCAAGATATTTGGCCTTTTAGCAATATAGCTAGTACATTCAGCACCCCAGGATTGGGAACATAATCAGGTTGTTATAAATTATACACCACTTATTTGTTTTTTTTACAAATTTGGAGAGAACAGCATGTTCCTTCCTGTACTGTGGCTAACAACATGTCTTATTCAGATATTATCTAATTATTACCATGTTTCTCATATAATAAGGCCGGGTCTTATTTTTTTTTGAGCCCCGAAAAAATGGCTAGGCCGTCTTTTCGGGGGTGACTTAATTCCCCCCCCCCTTGCATCTTCAGGTGGGCAGCGATGGCTTCGATGTTGACCTCGGCGTTGGTGGGGCACTTCGTATCTGGGTCAACGCAGGCAGCACCATATCCGGGTGTGCAACAAAAGTACTTCCTAACGGCAAGCCCCCCCACCATTCCCCCATTTCGCATGTTTTAATATAGGCCTTAATTTGAGGGGAGGGGCTTAATTTCATTTCATGCCTATAAAACATGCTGGGACTTCCTATTGGGGGAGGCTGTATTGTTGGAGAAACAGGGTAGATAATTAATCTCAGAACCTTTCCCCATTTGACCCGAACCATAGCCAAATGTAAAACTGCACAATATTGCCTTCATTTTTCCCCAGCCCATGAATATGAAATGTCATAAGTTGTCAGTAGCAATTTTAGAGTTTCAATAGCCAACAGAATACAACAACAACTGTGAAGCGTGTAAAATCTCTTCAAGCCATTACATTGGAGCTGAAATTAATGAGTAGGAATAGATAGGATGAGAGATGTGTTTTATTGGCTACTTAGTTCAGGCTAATTATGGACACATATCCCTCCACTTCAATCTCTGGTTACCTTTGTTTCCTTGGAGAACTGAACTTTACTGGGGTTATGCTGGTGGTTATTTTGATTTGCGGAAGAGCTGTCCTTCTAGCATACGGAGTCCTTTTGCTGTTTTCTCACAGCTTACTCTAAATTCCTGCCACAGGCACAAGTCTATCCATGTCACAATGTTTCATCCAAAATAGCACAAGCAGCTGATAACCAGTAAATGTAAATGGTAGTGAATATGCTATTCTGTTCGGGTAGCAGTGCTGTGAGTATGCAAGATAATGGTTGAAAGACCAATGCATACACACTTGCACAGATACTTCCCCTACCCATTGCTTCGTGAACAACAGATACCCACACGCACACATGTACAATGCCTTCCAAACAAAGAAGTAGATTTGGAAGTCAACATTTATTACCATATAGAAGGAAGGGAGGGAGGGAGGAGGATACCCTA